CAGTAATAGTGTTATGGTTGATGGGCAGTAATAGTTATGGTTGATGGCAGTAATAGCGTTATGGTTGATGCGCATTAGCGTTATGGTTGATGGGCAGTAATAGCGTTATGGTTGATGGGCAGTAATAGCGTTATGGTTGATGGGCAGTAATAGCGTTATGGTTGATGGGTAATAGTGTTATGGTTGATGGGCAGTAATAGTGTTATGGTTGATGGGCAGTAATAAGCTTATGGTTGATGGGCGTAATAGTGTTATGGCTGATGGGCAGTAATAGTGTTATGGTTGATGGGCAGTAATAGTGTTATGGTTGATGGGCAGTAATAGTGTTATGGTTGATGGGCAGGTGTTATGGTTGATGGGCAGTAATAGTGCTATGGTTGATGGGAAGTGTGGGTTCTTATGGTCAGGAGAGCCAGCCGGCTATTTTCTCCTGATGTACAGTATAGGTGTGGCGGTGTACAGCAGGTGTGGCGGGCGTGGTACAGCAGGTGTGGCGCGGCGTGGTACAGTATAGGTGGCGGCGTGGCTGGCAGGTGTGGCGGCGTGGTACAGTATAGGTGTGGCGGCGTGGTACAGTACATAACACGGCCTCATGACAACCAGGTGCACAGGCAGGAAGGAAGGAGTGTGGGAGTTGTAAGAATGCATGATTTCCGTCTGCCCGTGTGTGTGTGTGTGTGTGTGTGTGTGTGTCCGGGAGCTGTGGACAGTAACCTCAACAAATAGTAATGCATTTTAACCCTGCCTCACACCTTGGGCTGGGCGGTGACTCTTCATTTGATTTTTGTTTTGTAATTCTTGATCAAAACCTTCTCATTGTATGGCTGCCAGGTGCCTGTATGATGTATTATGGCTGAAATAAGTTAGTGTATGTGGTATTTATTTATAGTTGCACGGATACTGACAGGTGTAACTCCTCTTAAAGTGTATTTATTTATGTGAAAGTGGGTCTCGCTGGCATGACTGTCCATGTAAACTTAGGTCCCTGTTTAATGCTGGGTGAGCTTGGAGTGTCCGGGAATCGAGTACAGACCCTTAGAGCAAGAGGCGAGCATTGTATCCACTGGGTCACCGCACCTCTTTGTGTCTACCTATATTACCTGTGTATGTACATATTTAATGAGGGTTAATTTGTGTGCATTAAGGTAAGGATCTCCTGGAGGCTTCAGAGACCACATGATGTAGCTACTTGTGTTTGTATCGATATAAAATGACCTGGAAGAAAGCCGAGAGAGTCCACCCCGGAACTATATAACTACCTACTGTACCAACCCCCACGCTGCCACAAGCCCTCTCCTCTGTACCTACCCCCAAGCTCCTCCTGGCCCTCTACTCGTGTAAACATAGCGAGGCTGGCAAATGTTTTTACCTCGTCGCGGAGCCGCTCACGGAGGCACGCCAAACATTTATATGTCTTGTTATTTTCTTTTTTCGTGCGGGCAAAAGTAGACAATGAAGCGAAAAAGATGGCACGCGATGTAGTGGAATGTGTTTGACGCATGGTGTAGCGTGCCTATAGGACTCTCGTGTCTCGCTCTGGTTCTCCAAAAAATCCGTAAGTTTAATTTAAGAGAACGTGTGTATTAAACTGTAGACTTGGTGTAATTTTGGCACCATTTTGAAAACAATATTTTATCGTATGTATTGTTTTGAACTTCGTGTTTTATGGGGGAATTTAACCTATGAAGTTTTAAAATTCCAGAGGTCAGGGAGAACATTGGGAGGCCAGGGGACTACTAGGGGCCGGAAAAGTCTACGAGGACTAGGAGACCGTCCCCCTCAACGCGTGGCCCACAAGTCTCCGGGTGCGGGAGGAGCATTATAGTAAATCCCACACAAGTGATGGCGGAGTATCTCACGCCCAGCCCCTTACCCCGTCTGCCTTGTCTCTTCCTTCTTCCTTCTCCATACACGTCCTTGATTCCTTCCTAACCTCTACTTATTCTCCTTTCCTTTCTTTCCTCCCCTCCCCCTCCCCCCCACATCGTCACATCCCTCCATCGTGTCCACACCTTCACGCTCCCTCCCCCGACCCCTTTCCCATCCTCCCTTTCTACTTTACCTAACACTACCTCCCCTCCACTGTCCGTTCCCGTCCCTTCTTCTCTTCCCCTTCCCACAACAGATCAGAACCTCTCCTGTCGTCACCACCACCACCACTACACCTCCCCGCCTACCACTACCCACTCTTGGTGAGAACAACGGGGGAAGAGAGCCGACATACAATATTTTTATTTTACGCTTCGTTTAGTCATTTTACACAATTAAGACGTGGTAATAGTAGTAGTTACGTTAGGTCTGTGGTCATAAGAGACTACAGCGTCTTTATTATTTGAATATTTTAAGCTCGTACAGTACGTCAGTGAGTCGGGGCAGGTGTATGTGTCTGTGATTGGTGCTCCACGTCCATGGGTCCTGCTGGTTGACTGTGTGTGTAGGCATTTTAAAGCTCTTGGTTGAGTGTGTAGACTCTTAAGGTCCCAGCACAATCCCGTGTGTGTGTGTGTGTGTGTGTGTAATAATAATAATTAACGGTTTATTGAAAGAGCATGGCAGCCAGAAGGTTGAAAATATACCGTTTCATAATTGGGGAATGGGTCACTTGTTTGACAAATAACATACAAGAAACATAAGTGATACAAATATGATATATAATAATAACTGGGTGGGGAGAAGGTGTGTGTGTGTGTGTGTGTGTGAGTGACCTTGACGTTTACTTTATGACCGCCCTCTATCATCAGACTAAACAGTGGTGGTGGTTGTTATGGCGTGTCAAACCTCCGCGCTGATCTGCCTCGTCGTGTAGTGTTGCACCTTTCTAATACAGTGCTACCTGTGTTCCTAGGTAGTAAAGTGAAGGGCCAGGTGGAACGCCAGACGAACGTACGCTCGCCCTCTGTTTGCATTGGTGTTTTATGGAGGTAGGTGCGATATATGATAAGGTAAACTGCGCCAGACGAACATATACGCCAGGGTTAAGTTTGTCTGTAGTGGTGTTCTCTTATGGTAGTAGTGAGGGGTGGCAGGTGAGGTGTGGTGCCAAGCTAAGTATAGTGGGCGTCTCTACCTGACCCTCCTTCAGTACAGTACCTGGGAGGTTTTTATTAACACTGGCGAGTGATAAGCCGCACCAGGTGCCCAGTTCACCTTACCTGTTACTACCTTACGGTGTGTGTGTACACCTCCATTAGCTGTGGCAGGAAACAAGAGTACATTACAGGTGGGAGTGGAGTAAATCATCTGTGGTGGTAATCCCTCCAGACAATCCCCAGGGGACAGTTTTTTCACCAGGTTAAAATAGTGGAGAAAATCCCACAAAAAAATCCCTTTGTACATCGTAGTTCCTCTACTAGGTAGCAGTGTGTCCCTTGATGACGGTAGATGCTGTCCCACACCTCTCCTGCCGCCATTCATCCCACTGGGTTGGATCACCTGAGGATTATACCCCCTACCCGCCCATTCTGTTCACCTGGTCAAATATCTTATCTCGACCTGTGGAGTTAGGTTAGGTTAGGTAAGCGTTAGAGGGTTTAATTCTAATGCGAGATAAATTGGAGAAGGTTTAATCTTGATTGTATTTGTTTTATTTATTTTTACTACACCGAGGATATGAGTTGTTTACATTGTCACCAGCCAGTTTATGGCCGAATATTCTACTTCTGTTTTTTTCTTCCTCGTGCCCCGCGAGGAAATACCCGGAATATTATCACCGTGATGGCGGGGCAACATCATCATGCTCCGGTGTTGAAACTGAATACCTCGGTGCATTCTTTAGTCTTGGTCGGTGTGTTTCTTAGAATGTTTGGTCACTTACATGCATCCTCACCTCTGCTGCGTGTGGACGGGTTAACCTATGATCTGTGTGTAAGGGACAGTTAACTCTGACGGGAGGTGACGAATGAACCAAGATATAAATGTGTATGTACAGAAAGTTCACCGGAATCTGGTTACGTGTGGTGATGACAACGATGGGGGAGGGAGTACAGTGGTGACGTCACTGCTAATGACACTTTGGCTTTCGGTCCAGTGACGTCATGATAGCCACACAGTTATCAGATTGGTATTTATGATTGAGGTTATTTATAATGATAGTTGTAAAGCGCGCGCCAAGAACACGGCGGCGTCAAGGTTGCTTAATTGATAATAAAGTTGTAATGATGTTGGATTTAACTTATATTATACCTGACTGTTAAGGTATAGTACACTGAGCTGTTGAGGTCAGTGTATTTCAGCCAGTTCCAAAGTTATTGGTTATATTTAAAGTAGAAATGTTAAGTTATTTACCAATGTTAATGTACAAGTGAGACTCCTAGAGGGACGTTGAAAAATGAACGTGAGTGAGTGAGGAGTGAGGGAGGTAAAGGCTAGGCTAGGCGCCAGGCCGTCGCTGAGCCGCGCCCTCCATCCATCTACCTTGTAAACCCTCACCTGTCTGTCTATCTATCAAGCTCATTCCCTCCCTCAGGTACACCGACTCATCCTCGGCTAGGCATTCTTATATTTGCCTCGGGTTCCTAAAGTCCGTGTGTGGTAATACTGATGGCGAGTTATGACGCTTCTGTGTGTTTTTTAAACCACGTCTTAGAAATATTTGTGTATGTATGTTGTGTGTGTGTGTGTGTGTGTGTGTGTGTTCCCAGGCCAACATTCACCAGTGCAACGTATTTAGTATGTCTTTGGTCACATGACGTAGCTAGTTTATTTGTGTAAATAAAGCTTAATCACATCTCAGATTAGTATCCCGTCGTGCACGTTTTCTCTAGTTGCTCGATATACATTTTCTTTAATTGTATGACTCACGACATCGCCTCGTTGAACATGATCCCGTAGTTCCTTTTTTTTACCTATTTATCACATGAATTTGTGTTTAAGGTCATTGTGGATTATAAATTCAGTTTTTTCATTGCACCAGACTAAGTTGCATAAAGAGTGTTCCTGATTTGTGTTAAAGAGGAGGTATGAATGTTTATCTTATTGTATTTATTTATTTTTTATTACAGGCGGACCCGTGGAGCTAAACCCAAGCTGGCAGCCAGGGTGCGTCTAGTACCGGGGTGAGTGTGGCGGCGTGTTTGATGCCTTCTACCTTACTTTTTGCTCTCCTCCTCATTTTTCTTCAGCTCTTTTTCACGAATTCGATGACGTCACCCCGAACATGTTTCCCTGCCCTATACTGAATGATTAAATAAGTTTGAGTCCTTGGGGGAGAAGCTATGGGTGGGTTTAAGGGATTTTGGGGTAGAGGTGAGGATGAGCTGGGTGATTTTTGGGGGGGAATTGATTGAGCGGCTGTATCGAACCACAGACAATATGGGGGAAGACTGTGTTCGGGGACTCGCATCAGCCAGTATCAAGGAGAGAGTTCAAGGCAGGGGAACGCGTCTCTCACCAATAGAGGAAAGGAGACTGGTCGGAGGAGGACCTTGTGGTTGTTGTATTCACTTGACACTCGAGCCTCCTCACCTCCCTCTAGCAGCGAGTGAGGAATGTTAATGGTAAAACCTACGACATGGACTGTTGGTGTTGTGGGGGGCGGCGGCAAGGTGAGGTACAGCTCAAGTCACCGGTGTCACTCAGTCTTACCTGTATACAAACTAACTTCTGTTAAAATCTCGTGTGTGTTGCCGAGAGATGTTGATCTGATTCACCACAAAGATAAATGCCACTTTCCATTTTCATATCTAATATATTTATCAGTATTAAAAGTTTATTAAAAAAAATCAACGTAATGTATTTTTTCCTATGTAGTTTATATCTAATTCTTCCTGAGCGTATTACATCAACCAGCTAAAAGATACGCTGCGTGTGTTACATTGGCCAGTGTCGTATTTTACAAGTCTGCGTAACTGTACCATGAAGGCTGGTGGCCGCAGGGAGGAGAGAGCCTCACTACGCATGCGCCGTTGTTTTAAATAGACCCCCCGCCAAGTCCTCAGGGTCGCTTGAGAACTATATGTGTACGTACATCTTCAACGTTGACATTCGGGATGTTTGATGTGTTATTCACCACACAGAGGCTACCCGGTAAGGTTTTCGCTCATTATCAGAATACGATCCCATACCTGACACCCCACCCCCCTCCCCACACACGTACACACACACACACACACACACACATGTACACTACGAAACCAATAGTCCATCCTGTGTAACCCATTTCTTGTTAACCTAATTTACCATATCCGTTGTTCATCCTGTTTTACCATATCCCTCGTTCGTCCTGGGAGGAATCAAGTGAGCGGTGGAACGTACCCAATGGTCTGATCAGAGTTTCGGTCAAATCCTCCGCCCCTGTACTATTAGTCTTTAATTAATACCTCTAAGTACATTGCCAGGCTTGCTATTGTTGGTCTGTTGTGTTTTATTTGGGTGTGTGTGTAATGAACCTTTTCCAGAGACAGATAAACAAGACAGATATACATACAGACAGACAGGGGAGCCGCACAATGCTTGCTTGCCTTCATCAGGTGATCACATTAGCATAAGTGTAACCCCCGTTGGTTAAAGTTTGTTTGTGTGTTGACGTGGACAAGCGTAGCGTTTTGTTTGAGTTGTTACCTCTCTCTCTCTCTCTCTCCTGTACTCACTTTTGAATATCTTAATTAGTAGTGTTGCATCTGTCTTCTCATCCCTGGTTTAATGTTTTAACACTTTTATGTTTAATTCTCTATGGATATTCTGCTGACTATAGATTGTTTTGATGTGTTTTATTGGCTGGTTTGATAATGTTTTTGGTTTTTTACATTTTTTTTTAATTCAAATTTATTATTTCACTGTTTTAACACCGTATTTAACTCCTATTTATATTTTATCGACTCAATAGTGCACAGACTGTTTAAGCGCACTTGATATTTTACTTACTATTTTAGTACTGGTTACATGTTTCTTTTTACTTTTAATATTTTCCTGAGTGAATTGTACATAGATATACATACTACAATGAACTGCCTCCAGGTGTGTGTTTTAAGAGGCATTTCCCCCTTTGAGATCACCCACACACACACACACACACACACACACACGCAGAGGGACGCGTGAAATATTTCCGTTTTGTGTGTGTAGGACTCTTACAAAACACTAAAGACTTTTAAAACACCGTCTTCCTCACTGTTAACAGTCTGGTCTCATAATCTCCCACTCAGTCTAAAATAACACACTCGCTATACATAAATTCATCTTTACACATACAAATATTTTCCTTCTCGCACACAATTTGTTTATTTAATTTATTAATACGCTAAGTCTCTGAACAGCATCTCGTTATACGCCTGAGACAGAACTGGTGGAGCGAGACTGAACCCAAACTGTACCTGCAGTAGCTTCCTAGGGGGCCCGGCACAGCTTCGAACAGGCTTGTACCGGTACTTATGTTCGAGCCTGTACATGTAAACAGGGTATATTTTTCCTACCAGTTATGCCTGTCAATGACTCGGCCGGAGAACCTCACTCCTCGTCCCAGCCTCGCCAACACCACACATTTCTGGCGTCTCTAACTGGGGACGTGTTGAGACTCTAAACACAGGAAGAACTGAGAGGGTGTGGGGATACAGGGGAGGGTGTGGGGATACAGGGGAGGGTGTGGGGATACAGGGGAGGGTGTGGGGATACAGGGGATACAGGGTGTGGGGATACAAGGAGGATGTGGGGATACAGGGGAGGGTGTGGGGATACAGGGGAGCGTGTGGGGACGTTATTATTATTATTATTATTATTAAACTAATTATTTTTAATACATAACAGATGCGACAGTTGGTTATGGCCATCGTTCAACTCACGTCTTTTTTGTGTATGATGAAAGAGGTTGAAAGGAGGACATAAGAGGCGGGAGAACGGTATTTAGAAGCTGAAGAATTTGAGAGGGAGATTATTAGTTAGCGGGGTGGCCTCTTTACTGTTGTTCAGCTACAGTAAGTTAAGTTTCTAAGTTATTCTGCCTGGATGGTGAAGGGGGTGAGGAGAGTGGTGAGGGGAGTAGGGGTGAGGTAAGTGGTGGTATTGGGAGTGAGGGGCGTGAGGTAAGTGGAGAAGTGAGTGGTGAAGAAGAGGCCAAGAGATTGACAAAAGCCAGGCCTCCGTCCCCGGCGCCACCAGCACACACACACAGAGTGATAATGACCTTAGTCTTGCACGCCTCCCCCTGTTGTGTGTCGTAAGAGCCTCTTCTGTCACTAGATACATTTTATTTGTTAGAATTATTCCGTTTAGTGGAGATACAGGTAGAGAGATGTCATGACGGTAACAGTACACAAAGTATGTTATGTCGTCACACACACACAGGTGTAAGAATAGTCCCAACAGTTTCATGACAACACTACACGAATACTGTACTTCTCAGGGTTCATGGTCTTCAATAAGTCACATCATTGTTTACACTGAAAATAAGACATACTTCGAATCACTGTGGAAGGAGATTCTCTCTGGCCACACAGCCGTTGGGGGACCAACTATACCACTGTTGAGGAAGAATAACCCACCCAGAGTGAAGATAGCTACTGTAGTGGTGATCTACGATTGCTGACGACGAACAACGTTACTTTGTTTCCTCAGGATCTGCTGTTTTATATTGAGGAGAGGTGATACTCGGCCACTGACAGACACTCGCACAGCAACACCTTTGGTCTTGGTTCTCAAACGTTTGTAGGTTAAATATCTTCTGCCTTAAGATGTTAAGCAGCCTCACGATGCTGTTCTTTTAAGAGGCGACACAGAGGTGGGGGGGGGGGCGGGCTAAGAGGCGTCTTGATTGGTTGAAGACTCGGCCGTAGCTTGATGTATTCCCTTACACGGTTAAAGAGGGGAGGTTATGTACGAAGCTTCGTAGCTGGTCTGTGAGCCATGAAGTGGGCTGAGGTTCTAGTCTGTTGTTAACTGTGTCATTCAGCTCTATGAACGTCAATCTTGACAGACTGGTTGCCTAACTCGCCGAGAGAACGTTTCAACTGAGCGCAGGGTGACGCATCTTGATTGTTGTTGTTGTATATTTTATTGAAGGTTCTTACATGACATTCCTTTGTATTGCCACCGCTTGAGAATCAGGAGGTGGCTGGTGACCGTGTTGGAGTGTGTGTCACTGTCTGCCTGCAGTAGATCAGGAGTCCCCCAGAAGGACAGTGTTTGTTGTACTTGTCACAGGGAGGAGCGTCCGGGTCCTGGCTCCTACACAACAAATCACTTAGTACTACCCAGCCCCGCCCCGCCCCGCCCCGCCCGCCTCCCTCTCCCAGCCTCACCCCTCTCAGATCTCTCGGTCCTTCAAGGAGTTTGAAGACTGTGTTTCTTAAAGCCTTACGTTATTTTCTGAGAAAATGCGAAATCCGGGATTTAGAGAACGCCCGTAGCTGTGATAAGCCCAGTGTAGTTGCAACTTCACTTTGGTCCACCATCTGGTTGCCATGGCTACAATGTACTACTACAATGCGTTCCCAAATCCTTAAGAGTCTTTGAGACCTAGACCCGGGTATCCAAGGTTTATTCTAATGATGGAGGGAAAAGAGGAGCTTGAGTGAGGACTACTCTACGTGTCACCCCCACAGTCTTGGTCTGGGTGCTGGGCGTTACTTAAGATGATGATATGACTAACAATAATAACCATACTATTTGAGGGAATTTACTGATTATAAAACTAATTCCTCCTTGAAATATGTGAAACTAGTCCCATCACTTTTAACAGGTGTGGGCTGGGTGTGGCGACGGACACCTGGGGAAAGTAATGCAGATAATATGTACAAATACCAATTAATTGGGTGTTGAGTTGACGCCTCGAAGTAACTGTGTGGTGTGGAGGGTGGTGCTGGGTGAGGGAGGAGGTATGACGATGACAAAGTCGGACACAGTGATGCAGTAGCCATTGTAATGACACGATCAGTCCACCAACATACATACATACACAGCTGGCAAGTTAGTGAGGAGGCTGCACCCATACCGGAACTTCACTCCGTCTCTGATAAAACCTCGTTGTTGTCTCATAATTATTTAAAGACATAATGAAAATAAGCCTTTAAAAACTCCCATGTTACGTACTCTTAAACCTGGACTGTCTGACGCCCACGATGAACCATTATGAACTTGCTTGACGAATGAACTGAATATCTATCAATCTACCTGTCTATCAGTCTGTCTTATATAATCTAGTATATTTATATTTATCTAAAAGAAAACGGAATACGACCCAACCCACTCAACACGGGGACTAAAACATCAGCCGCTGTTTGAAGTGGATGCTCTCTGTTCTTCTCGTCGACAGCTACGATGTTGTGTAGAGGATGGTGGGGAGGAGAGGGATGTACGAGTGGGGAGATGGGGGAGGAGGATAAGGAAGAAGATGGGCGTAGGAGATAGAGGGAGGAGGAGGAGGAGAGGGTGGATGAAGAGGAGGAGGAGGAGAATGATGAGAGGATGGATGTAAGAGTGGGAAGGGGAGAGAGGGAAGTAAGGAGGGCGGGAAGGAAGGAAGGAAAGGAGGGAGGGTAATGAGCCAGAGATGGGAGTAGTCGGTAAGGTAAATATGTCACGGTGGCTAGGCTGAGTCAAGCTGGCGCCACCCTCCTTCCCTTACGTAACCTACACCTTACACCCCCTTACACCCCACCTACACCCCTTATACCCCACCTACACCCCTTTACACCACACCTACACCCCCTTACATCCAACCTACACCCTCTTACATCCAACCTACACCCTTTACATCCCACCTACACCCCCTTGCATCCCACCTACACCCCCTTACACACCCACCCCCTTACACACCCACCTACACCCCCTTACACACCCACCTACACCCCCTTACACACCCACCTACTTGCGTCGTAGTTGTAGTGAGAGTCGGTCGCCTCCTCGACGCCCAACGTAAAATATTTGAAATGATTAACCCTGAGTGTTGAACATCAGTAGTTTATAAGATGTACTGTGTGTGTGTGTGTGTGTGTGTGTGTCAGTACCTACTGTATGATCACATGAAGATTAGGCACCCTAGCTTATTTCACTTGATTAAACACCCAAACGCTAACCTAATCTAAGTTTTCCTAACTAAACTTAAACTAACCTAGCCTAGTTAAACCTAACCCGAACCAAACCTAATCTTACCTACCCTAACCAATCTAATCTAACCCCCTAGGTAGCGTTAGGATGTTTAATCATTATTAAAATGAGCTGGGATGTCTGATCTACACGTAATCCTACTGTCTCTACTGTTGCCACACACACCTCTCGCTCTCTCTCCGGCACAAATGGATTCTCACTGATATATTGAACTTGCTAACTGGGAGATGTGAGAAGGTTTCTGGCATCAGCTCTCGCTTCAAGACTCGAATCGAAGGCAACAACAACTCCTTTAACTAGATGGGTTCGTCGTCTTATCCTCCAAGTTGATCTTTGAGAATACGGACCTTCACGGGCGCCATCCCCAGCGAGGCTCGTTGAATCAATAGGGGAAGGTTGTATCTACTGTAGCTTTTGTCTGTATAAACACTGCTCTCTCTTTGTGTCTCATCACTGCTACATCTCTCACCCTCTCCTCGCCCCACCCTTTTAGATTCCGGATTCAGATGGATTCAAAGACAACTGCAATGAAGAAGAGTTAATTGCTTCCCGCTTTCTGCTCACGAAGATAAACGACCCAAGTGTGTAGGCTGTATTTAGTTTTGGTTTGGAGAGAGAGCTAGTTTCTATATCCTAGGTATCGCCATTTAGGTTTGGTGGAGGGAAAGGTGGGATGAAAGTTGGTGGCAGGTTGTGGTTGGCGGTAGATAGTTGTGGGTCATGGTAGATTGTTGTGAATGGTTGCTGGGTTGTGGTTGGTGGTGGATGGTTCTGAGTGGTTGCTGGGTTGTGGTAGGTAATTGTGGATAGTGGTAGATGGTTCTTAATGGTTGCTGGGTTGTGGTAGATAGTTGTTGGATTGTGGTCAGTGAGGATGGAAGTCACAGCTTAGGTCGCCCTCATCCAACAGGTAACACGCTACTCAAGCGCATGTCCGTGCTGTTGTTGTGTCATCAGTAGTACCCTGCTGCATCACCACTAATCTCTATGTACGCATGTACATAGTGTGTGTGTGTGTGTGTGTGAATGTTTGCAGGGCCCCAAGGTCATGGGAAACTCACTACACTGTATAGTCCCGCGTCGATGTTTTTATTTTTTTAAACAAACAAGAATATATATATATATATATATATATATATATATATATATATATATATATATATATATATATATATATATATATATATATATATATATATATATATATATATATATATATATATATATATACTGTATATATATATATATTTTTTATGGGTTTTGCCCATCCGGGCATGGGTCAATGACCCACATCAGGGCTGGGGGCGAAAATATAATATTACTACTACTAGTCTACTACTAATAATAATAACTAATAAAAACAAATAAAAATAAAGATAATAAAATAATAAACATAGTACTAATACAGCATAAAAATAAAAAGTACAAAAATAAATGATAAGTACGTAGTAAGAAACGATATATGTATGTTGTGTTGTCAAAGTAAGAGAAACAATTGAGACCCTGCAAAAAATGCGGTCCGACTAATTACCCAAATGTGTGTAAATGAGGCAGAAAGTCAGATCAGCAACCTGGGACTTGGTCACAATTTTTGTGATGCCATATAGCAGCAGGGTCTACCATAGACAACACATTATGCTTCCAATATCTTCCCAGGCGGTAGTACCTTCCTATGCTGTATATTATTAGATGATGTAAGTCTGATGAATATCAGTTATTTTTAGTTGGCAATATTTTCTCAGCACAGGAATTTTATCTAAATATGTTTCAAATGGATTTTATTTATATAGGAGTTGGTTAAGTGACCCTGAATTATAATGGGCATGAGAAACTCTACTCACAATATTATTACCGATACAAGTACAGGTTTCGGTATAAAGAACAAGTATTGTAATTCTCATTTGTTGACTGAAATACAGAGGCTGTACCTTAACCTAGAATGGTTGTTTCATAATCATTGTATCAACTCGTACATCAATGTCTGGGTTCTATAAAGTCCGCATATTATTTTATTTTCCCTGTGGAACTTTGGGTGTAAGTGTGTATGTACGTTATATGAGACGCTGTCCCTCGATATCTTATGGTAAAATTATTGTGCGAGTCTTTGAGCATCTGAGACCATTTTCTGTGGTACTGTAGTATATTTCTTGCTGACGATCTTTGAAGTTTAGAATGTTTAGGCTGTTTCAGTCACATCATATCACTTCCAAGACGTTGCCGAACGAATCTGGTTAATAATATATGAAACGTGAAAGAAACTATATTATTATAGGTATCCAGGTGGTGTTGGGTGCTAATTCTTCTCTCATCAATGTTGTTAATGGTATAACTACAGTACAGTACTCATTATTATTATTATTATTTTCTTTTTACGGGGATTAACCTACTCCTAAATAAATACAAAAACGAAAAAAATAGATCAAGAGTGAGAAACGTTATGCAGTTTTGATGCAAGAATTATAACAGTTTGCATAACTGCTCTTTCCTGACAGAAGTACACTATCAACATGTGCATCATGTAAGTCTACTTTTAAGTGTACAGTATTATTCTGTCTTAAATTTGTGATACATTAACAGTATTTTACCTCTTCCCACAGGATGGCTGCCATAGCAGACTTTATGCACCTGTGGGTTGCCTTCACTGCTGCCACCTGGAGTTTAGGTGCTGCAGCTATGCTTCCCACACCCTTCCCCAACTCCACAACACCAACGCCGTTCAGTGGTGCTACTGCTGCCCGCACCTCTATCACCCTTCCACCAGTCCTTCTAGCTAACATAACTGGGGAGGGACATAATGACACTGCAGGGTGGACTTGTCCTTATGTAGGGAGCTTCTCAGAAATATCATGCACTTGTGACGTGCCTCACACCGTCAGGTGCCGGGGTCAATCTAGTCAACCACAGGACCTCGCATTGCTCATACAAACTCTCACTGCCAAGGGAAGTGTGTCCTTGCTTGACTTGGCCATACATGGGATGGAAGAGCTACCGGGAAGTAGTTTTACCAATATGGAGCTTTTGGGTCTTGTGATAACAACAGCGGGCCTAAAAACATTACCATCTGATGCATTTTCGGGCTTAGAGACGACCTTGGCAGCCCTTGGCCTCCCCAACAATAAACTCACTTCAGTTCCTTTTGATGCACTCAAGCCATTAAGGGATTTGCAGCGCCTTGACCTAAGTGATAATCAGATACATGAACTGCCACCACGTGCATTCCCAACTCTTCTGCAACTCCAAAACTTAGATTTGGCTGGTAACAACCTTCATCTTCTTCACCCAGAAGTATTTGTTTATCTACCTCATCTATTGTCCCTCAACCTGGCTCGTAATCAACTGGATGCAGCTCAGATGAATGATAAGACACTGCGTGGTTTGCACACCCTTCAGCGCCTCTCATTGAAGTCCAACCTGTTAAAGGGTGCTGTGACGTCCACACTCATCACTGGAGCAAAAGGCCTTACCTCACTAGATTTATCAGAAAATTCATTAACAATGTTATCCAGAGGGTCGCTAGCTGCGTGCCCCAACATAAGGGAACTGGATCTGTCGCACAATAATATTGATGTTATTGAAGACCATGCCTTTGCAAACCTCACTCGACTACAACACCTCAAACTGTCCCACAATCGAGTTGTAGCTGTGTCAGGATGGTCACTAGCCCACTTACCACAGCTGACACATTTAGTTATGGCTGACAATGCTCTACGGGCTGTGACCGCAGACCTTCTCCACCAGTTACCAGCACTCAAGTCACTGGATCTGGCAGCCAATGATATTTCCCTCATACAACCACATGTATTCAACTCAACTCCAGCACTGCAACATCTTATCCTCACAGGTTTGTACTCCTATTAAATTCATGAAAAACTTTCAATTTTAAAGATAAATGCGTTTTAATCACCAGTGGTTCAATTGGCTATGTTGTGGACTCCCAATCCATAAGAGGAGTTAAGGAATCTTTCTGCTGTGTGGTGTACACAACTGTACACCAGCCATGTCAAAGGCCCATGTGAAGCCAAGATTTATTACCATCCATTTACTTAACCTAATTTAGGGATAGTTTGGTTATCATGATTAAAAGCATCTTAAATAAAATGGCAAATTTGACCATGTGAACTAATTTTCATAAAGTTTTAGAAATAAAAACAAAAAGTTATCCCTATTTGACCAAAAACACCAATTGTCTTTTAAGGCGTGGCTGAACAGGTTCTCATCTGATCAACTGTGGTATTAGCTCTCAGCAGCAAAGGGGGTGGGGTGCCCCTTTACTGGTGCATACTGTATTCCATCTGTCAGTACAGTACTACTTGACATATGTTTTGAATTACATTACAGGTACCTGTACTTAAAAATGACTTGTACTGTATTGATAAACCTCCTTAGAAAACTTATGCTTTTGGGATCTAGAAAAGTACTAAAAACTGCAAAATATATCTTTATCATATTGTGTCATTTTGTATAGAGCATAGAGATCAAACTACTGTACTGTACATACAAGTCTGTGCAGTGTGGCCTTGTACGAGTTATTTCATAGGATAAGTAGAATGTTATATGGTTACAGAATATTTCCTAACTATTATTTTCCGTAGATAATCCTCTTCACTGTGACTGTTCGTTGGAGTGGCTGGTACAGTGGCTGATTCAACACCCGTCCTTGACTCCTGAGGAGAAAGTCAGCTCTGTCTGTGCCACACCACCTGTGCTTGAAAATGCACCTCTGGTTAGTTTGAGAACTAATTTTCCCATAATTTACCAGTTGGAGACCCAGTATAGTAGTCCTGTCATCATTGATCAAGAAGAAAGGCATTTAGTCTCAACGGACAAGAGCCATTTTTAGGAAAAAGTAAATACTTTTCTCATTTAAACCATAAATTACAATACAATTCCATGTAGAGTCTTCTGTTTTCTAGAAGGACCATCAGTAGTGATACCAGGTAGTCCAGTTGTTGAAAGATGTAAACTAGGCAAAGTTAAGAACTTTTTTAAATACAGTATACTGTACTGTGTGTAGATGGATATACATAGCACATATCCTATCTCATCCTGTGATTAGTGACACCATGGCTTGATTTGAATGTGTTCAATGTACTGTATAGTGGGCTACTTTGTGGCTAAAGGCCATCCCTTCCCCTTCAGTCCTCCACAGAGAAAATACCAAGAGGCACTGATCTACACCAATATCTTCCTCAATGTTTTCATATGCTGTATTCTTTAGTAATCTTCAGTTGAACATGTTTGTCACTTGCAGAAAAAGAACAAATTTATTTGTGCAGCATGCCTTTTTCTGATTTCTTAACTTAATTAGTAAATAATGATGCACAGTATTGTACATTAAAAGATTGGGTACATCTGTAGAAATGAAAATATGTGGAGTATATATTAGAATTTGTCTTTCTAGCAGATTGAATTTTGCAAAAACAAGGCTGCCAAGTTTTCATTTGGATTTCCACCCGGTTGTAACTCAAAATATAGATAAGAAGTCTGAATACTGTATTAAACTTTTGAACCCAGATTCTTCATTTTTGTGTAAAGGAGTACCCATGAATAAAATTTGAACAAAATCTGTCTTAACCTTGTGCCATAACACAAGTTAATAGGTCAGGCGTTAAAAGTTCAAAGAATGCCAATATTGTAGGTGAAAATTCGTGTTTATGTGGTAAAGCGAGTGTACAGTATCTACAGTACTATTCTTTAGAAATTATATATAAATGCAATTTAAAACTTATGGGCATGGCATAATTGACATTTTCATTATTTTAAGTGTTTAATTATTTGAAGTCATTACAGGGCAATTAACTGATTACTCGAATACAAAAAAATTTAACCCCTACCCTCTTTCAGCATGTAAAGCAATATCTTTGAATAAAATTTGAACAAAATCTGTTATGACCTCATGTGCCAAAATGCAAGGTAATACTTGGGTATATAATGTCTTTTAGCACTTTTAGACTGCCATTACTGTGTATAGATTGCTACAGTGTACTATTTCCATATGCAGTATTTCATCTATAGTGTGGCTCATGTAATTAAGTTTTGTAATTTTTACAGGTTGAGCTGAAGAAGTCCCAGCTGGTTTGCTCCGAGGAGACTTCATATCATGATTACCATGACTACTATCATGATTACTACCATGATGAAGCCACATCTGAAGATGTTTCAGAAATGATACTATCTGATGCAAAGATTAGCTTAAAGATTGCTCACTGGGTACATAAAGTGGACTTGGCAAGGAATAACGGTGACTCGTTAGATACGGAATCATATTTAGGAGTGGAGCTCATATGGCGGGTAGAGGACAGAGCAATACCCTATTCATGTGAAGCAGTGTTTGTATATGAAGTAGTACAAGGAACAAGCAGTCAGCATGAGGTACTTGCAGAGAAAGTGGCAGCCGACTGCACTTCAGACGGAGTGCATGATCCACATCAAGTGATTGTGACAGTTCCTGGGGAAGCTCTAATCCCAGGAGCTACTTATCGATACTGTCTCATGTTGTTAGAACGTGGTACAGGTGACCAAGAAGCTTTCTTGCCCGGTTGCTCTGAACCTCTCTTATTAACTGCTGCTCCTTATGGTATACCCAAACATAAAGAAGGTACACAGTTACCACATGTGACTAGCCTAACTGCTGGTGGAGTTGGTGGAGCACTCGTAGTACACACACGTGTAGATGGAGGAGATGGACCATGTACTTACACACTTGCCATTGTTGCAGGGCATAGAATTGCAGCAACAAGACAACTCAACTGTTCAGAAGCAAGGCATGAGTTCCCATCTTTAACTGCAGGACAGTATATAGCCTGTGCTGATCCTGGCACTACTCATGACTTCAGCCACTTGGAGCATCACCTGAAGACTGAAGAAAATGCATCTATTGCACTCCATCATGACTTCTCCATCTGCACGCCTATCATTACCTTTACACCTTATGAAGATCAAGGTATAGGAATGGGACCTTTACTAACCCTCTTGTTCACATTGCCAGGGCTTGCCTTAGTGGTTACTCTTTATGTAATTGCAGGGAGAGTGTGGCGAGGTGGTGGTGTTCCCTGGCGTTGGGACCCAAGAACACAAAAGTCTGGAAAGTATTTCCTCTACACTGGAGAAGTGCCCACACCATCACTCAGTATGGATTCCTTACCCGCTGATAATATGGAAACAACAACCCCTGTGTAGTGTTCACTGTCGCTCCTATATTCCTCAAACATTTTAAGATAGGCATGCCCCAACTACACAATTAATTTCTAGTCCACTAATAGTCAAGCAAGTACTGCTGAGTACCAGGTTGCATGCAACTGACCGAGGAACAAATTATCCTGGTCTTTGTGGGGCAGCAGCCAAAGTGCCATACACCAATCAAGAGGGGATGTGGTGTTCAAAGAGGAGCTGTACATTAATAATAAAAGCATATATGTAATTAAGGACTCCATGACTGCATTTTGTGTGAAAGAATTTATAGAAAAATGTATAAGAGAGGCATGCTTATAAGACTACAGTAGTGATGAAATTAGTGCCATATAAAATAGTCAGCCGAGTTTGTAAAAAAAAAAAAAAAAAAGTAACTAAAAGCACAATACTAGCATGAGCTACCCAGGAAAGTGTAAACACAATGTATTCCAAACAAATATCAAATATCCTTTCAAGGAAAAGGCTGTTCCTGTTTATAAGATTTACATGTTTTACACAGGTCACATGATATATATGACTTGCATTTAAAATGTTGTCATCAGTTTATTTACAACTATACACATCCATCAGTAGGTAAGTGAATGTTAACCAGTTCAATCACCAATTGTTTGCAATAATAACTACCATACTGACAATTTTCAAAAGGATATGATCATATTAATGATTATTATAAATATTGAAAGATCAAAAGGTAATTTAGCACTAAATAAGATTTTTGGTGAAATAAATGTTTTATACATTTGATTCAAAACTTAAAGTAGAACATTAAATTGCAAGCAACCTAACTTATACATATGCCTAATTAAAATGGGTTACATAATAATTGCAATACAGTACTCTTTGTTAGACTATGGTCTAACAATCAGCAGTTATTTTTTATCTATAAATACTGTTTTCAAACAAGGACACCCATCTTCCTCAGATATGATCTCATGTTCTGCACTGTGTAGATAAATTGGAGTTTCACTGCAAAAATAACTGTTCATCTAGTGTTAAAAGTGAAATCCATTATTTCTGATTTAGGAAAATTTAAATACCTGTACTACTAAATACTGTACTGTACAGTACAGTATAGTCAAACTAAATAATTAACGAGATGAATATAACCTATGATGTTCATGTATCAGTTATCAACTGTTCCTGTTTTGAAACAAAAATATAAGATATCCAGAACTAAATTAATCACACTAAACTCCTTAGCTGTACAGTACGTTAATACCTGTACTGCACTGTATGTCCAAAGAGATCTGAGCCAAACCAGTCTTCTTCTTCAAAGAATTTTATAAATCTATTTAAGCCTTCAGTCAGATACCGATAATAGCTCAGCGTGGGGGAAAGTGGTTTGAGCTCCATCCGTCTTTCCATGCATTCATTTGTTGAAGAGCTTGATCTCAGTTTTGTATTTTTTTTAATAGCATATACAGTGAGTGGTGCACATTAACCTCAATATATTTGTTCTTTTGTTTTGAAGCCGATGCAAACTGGCATACTGATATTGTACCCGTTTCTTCAGTAACGTCTGTTTTATTGAGGGCTGTCATCAAGTATGATTTCACTGTTCCCATATCTATTGCCAAAAAAGTATCTTGGGTTAATTGATTTTACATTTCATAACTAGATTTGTTATGAGTAATTCCAGGAATCAGACTTATAAAGGTTGATGCTTAATTTGTTTTACTTTAATAAAATTCAATGAATTGCAAGTTTGTTGCAATAAACCATCTTCCTTACAGTATTGGGAAGCTGATAACTAAAATTCTTTGCATATACAGTACAGAATAATCACATGATAATGGGAGTACAGCCGAGATGTTTTCGGTAACCATAATTGTTGTATTTGAATCCCAACCAAGTTTATTATATTTTGTCAGAGTAACCTAGTGTTAGATGATTTTAAAATTATCTTAATTTTAGAGTTTCTAAGTGTTACCGTAGTTGCTTAAAAAATAAAACAAAAATAAATGCATTAGTTGAATTTGTAAAGTTGAAATAGGGATCTTTCTGTTGTTGACGATAAAACTCACGGGTATCTTTCTTGTATGTGGAAAAAAAAAATAGTAATGCAGTGACAAGTGAAATGTTAAGTTAGATTTAATATATACATATTGTATAAATATTAAGATTTCTTCAGGTCCTGCATGAATTATGAAGAAATTAAGTACATTTTATCAAATTTATAGGAGTGATTACCACTTGCATATAACTTTGTTAGCCATATAATTATCTGGAGTGAGGTCACTGGAGGAGTTTGCTGTGCTTTATTTTAATGTGTTTTTTTATGAAGCTTTAACATACAATACATAGTTTTGTATTCCTTAATTATTTAATAGTAAAAATATTGTTCCTTATATTTGCATTTTCATATATCTAAGCACCATGTTAGTGGTAATAGATAGCTTTATTTTTTATCTTGTAATATTATGTAAATAGAAAGCTGATTATGTACTATCATGTAGTTTTAAATTCATTGCTTTCACCATTTTCACAGCTGTCTGTGACACACCTTCCCTTTTCCTTGTTCACAGAGAGGAAGTATTTCTCACAACCCCTCTCCCCACACTGCTTTTGTTTGCATCAATTAAAGTGTTAAATTTTATTGCATATTTGGTATCAAATTTAGGGTTTTCTTGGTTGATTTGTTTAATTTTGTAGGGAGTGCAGTACTTGCCAGTCAGCTGCCTTTATACATGTATTGTACTGAATGTAAGGTTTTCTCAGTTACTTTTAGTTTTAGCATCAGACTATATTTGTCTACTGTATATGTTGGCAGTAAAACTATCCCTTAATTCAGATTATGAAAAAGCATAATACAGTACATCCCTCAATGTTTGCAGACAAAAATATTTTTTGATGTCCTATAGGACAGAGATAAAACCCAGTGCAACTACTGTACTGTACTATGCTGAGTAATTAAATATAAAATATTTAAAAATTACATGTACTGTAAATTGAGCAGCAGTACACCTTCATATCCTGACACATTTATTCAGTCCTATTAATCATTTTCATCATTCATAAGAAACATGCCCATATTTTCAGCTATTTAGATGATGCCTTTAAATGGAATTAACGCTGAAAATTCTACAGTTCTCTGAAATTATAGCCAACAGTTCCAGCAGAAATAATGTTAGTAACTTTGCAGGATAATCACCTCCACATGCATCATACTGAAATTATTAGAACTGTAGAAGCTTCACACTGACTTTTTATTTGGTCAATACTAGTAACCATAAGGTGATGTAATCTAAGTAATCTAAATTTAATATTGATCTTCAAGGAAACATGTTAACCACTAGTCTTTTCACACAAACTTTGGAAGAAGGCCTTGGATCAGTTTGTAGCAAGGCTGCATATGGACACAGTCACTACAGTTATTTAGCATTTAACTTGTCATAGTAATAACATTCTTGTGCTAATCTCTGATAATTTCCACACTTGAGGATGCAACAATGAGCATGTGAAATGCTCTGGTAATAAAATTATCATAAAAAAAACCCAAACATGATGAACAACTTTAGTGACAAACTCCACTCACTACATGACAACATGGAGCTTGGTGGAAAATGTCACTAGAATTTTGTAATTCATTCTTGTTCTCTCTGTGATATTTACACTACCAGTGCATTTCACATGCTAATTTTTGTTTCACCAAGTTTGGGAATTATCAGAGATCAACACAGGAAAGTTATTATCCCTTAAAATATCATAATATAAATACAATAGATTAAATACCAAAAACCCGAGTGATTTTTCATGTGTGTCTGCCAGGCAATCGGCTGCTTTGCTACAAACTGACCCTAGGTCTCGGTTGTAAAGTTCGAATGAAGAGACTCTTAAGTGATGCATAATATATGTTCCTTTGAATTTTGGTGTAGTATTGCCTTGTGCTTACAGAAAAGTGACTAGCATTATTTAAACTTCAAAAATCCATTACGTCTTGCAACATTTCATCTGTAAATCATATTTTGAGCATTATATTAGCCACTGATTGTGCCATACCTGTATATTTATATATATATATATATATTATGAATTATAAATTTGTAAATAGTGTGCATAGTTTTTTAACAATAATAAAGCCTGTTATTAATAAAAATGGGTTTTAATTCTTTTAATGATGACAGAGCAGTTGCTAAAAAAATATACAGTAAACCCTTACTATTCACGGGTTTGCGGTTCGTGATTTTGACTATTCTCAGTAAGCAGATGGTGGCTAGCGTATGAACCTCTGCCACAGTGCAATGAGTCACTCCCATGCACCTGCAGCGTCTCCTCTCCCTTTGTTTGCGCTCGACCATTGCCTGCGACGCAGCATCTCTTGAGTTGTACTGAAAACTTTAGCGTTTCTGTTTGAAATGGCCCCTAAAAGACTGCCTAGTGTCAACGCTAGTGATGTAAGTGGAGTGAAATGTTTGAGACCAAAGCCAAGAGGAAACAACTACTATACCAATGATGATTTTTAAGAAAAAACCAGCTGCTCACCCAGCTGATTCATCTCCCTCACCTACTCTGTCAGCTGCTGCTCCACCACCTGCCTCTCCACCAACCACAACTGCATCACCTTCTTCCAACAGTGATCCTGCTGCTCTCCTTATGCTTCAGTAACCAGATTTCATTCTACTGTTCAGCACACTTCATCAAGCTCCAAACTTCCACTTACAAAGGTAAATAGTATAGGTGACTTAAGTTTCTCATGCACAGTATAGGTATACAGTAGTGCACTAAGGTAGTAAAGTTGTGATTTGCAGTTTTGCCAATTTGCGCCATTCCTTGGAACCTAACCACTACAAATAGCAAGGGTTTACTGTTCTTGATAGCTTAAGGTAAGTGTGAAATGATCTGTATTTAGACACAAATTAATATTGCAGGTCCTCCTCTGTGCATCATGACCTCAAGACATTTCTTAAGTTTACAGTTCTTAAAACACCTAAAACATGCATGATATACCATACTACATAGAGTATATCATTACATCACAAAATGGTAAAACAGAGAACAAAAGCAGAGCAATCCTTTAATACAAAAAATATGCAATGGAAATCAAAAGTACTGTATATTATATATTATGTAAATCTGCTACACAAAGCAGACAAAACCTTTTAAAGTTACAAATTAAACGTTTAAATAAGCCTCAAAATTAAATTGATTCCAAAGTGGTTATAAGTTTGTATATTGTTCTTAATATATTGCATTAAAATTTATAACTTTGAAATCAATAACCATTATAAGGCATTGAGTACACATGCCAAGTTTTCACACAGGAGAGTTAAAAACAATAACACTTTTATCTTCTGATGCACTTACAATTTTACTACTATCTCGACTATACTTCGCACACCAAACCTAAAAGGGGAATAAAAAACATATGTAAGTGATTCACAGTTACTTACGGGATAACTTTTACACATTCCATGGTGAAACTTGTAGTAATCTAATACTTTTAATGTTCACTAATTACTCCATAATCCAATTTTGGACAAATCCTTAATCAGCATGTACAGGAGTACCTACAGTATACTGTACTAAGATTTTGAACCAAATTGCAGAGACCACTACATTCTTAATCAGCATGCTCAGGAATACCTATACAGTACTAAGATTATGAACCAAATTGCAGGTATCAAGACTAAGGCCCCTTAGTGAATTTTTGGCCACCAAACCACTTTTCTCTTGGAATTTAATTAGTTTAATTTAAGTACTTCCAGAATAACACACGCACACCAAAAATTTAGTTCGAGAAACCTTAGTTGGCAAATAATTGGCATTAAATATTATGTCATTAACACCTTATGTTGTTTTCATATAAATAACCTTGTATAGATACCCTTGTCTGGTTACCAAGAAATTTATTTATGTTTTTGCTGGACAAGCTAGATAATCTCTAAAATCATGTGAAATAAAGTACTGTACAAGTAGTTAGAAAGTGGCAACTCCACTCTCGGCCTTGGAAATCCATCGTTGCCACGATCTCCAAGTGGGGCGGAAGAACTATCACATTCGGCATTTATTTTACACCAATTCTATTTTATTTGGCCGAGAGTTATAAAAAGAAGACTAACCTGGTCATGATGATCCTTGAAGGTGTGTACACAGTTCCGCTGAGCAAAGTCCCAAATCTTAACAGTATGGTCGGACGATGAGGATACAAAGTGCTGCTGGTCAGGAGCGAAGTCCACGCTCAATACCCAAGATCCATGGCCTGAGAGTGTACAGGCCAAGTTGCTGCTCTTACTGGTATCAAAAGATGTACAGTATTAGTTCATCTTACATTACCAAATACTGTACATGGCTACATGTAAAGCAAGCATCAGATTAATAAGTCCTTAAAATTCTCCAAATCTATGCCTGCTGACCATCTCCACATCTGAATATCCAACTAAAGAATTTTGCTGGATTACATTACTATTACTTAAATGAATCCATCATCCAGGACAGTAACACCTGTAGCACCAAAATCTTCAAAAATAATTCAGGAATGCCCCAGCAAGTTAACAACCACCTAAGCAAAAAGTTAAAAGAAAGACAATTTAAGTGAGTGAGGGATAAATAAATGATGAAATAATTTAATACCCGAAACAGCGTCCACTATGTCTGAAATACCTGAAGTTAGTTATATTATAAGGTATAATTCTAGAATAGCTTGCATCATCGCTCAAAAGCACGAGTCCTGCATTTTGCCCTGGCTGTACAAAATAATAGTGCCCTCAACAAGCATGCACGCGCACACACTAACATAGATTACCTCAACAAGCACACACACTAACAGGGGCTTTTCAACAAAAACACATTAGTTTAGGTCCCAACACACTACAGGTTGTAGATTCCACTAAGCTCCTCGGCGTTACCGTAGACAACAAACTAAATTGGAAACCACACGTCACTGAAGTTGTCAAATCCTCCAGCTTCCGTCTCCACCTCCTCCGCCGACTCAAGTCCCTCGGAGTTCCTGCACCCTAACTCCTCAGTGTTTACTCAACATTCATACTTCCCAAGCTCACCTATGCCTCCCCTACCTGGTCTTCCTCCCCAAATGCCACACAATGTAAACACCTAGAAAAAGTGCAAAAGAGGGCATGCAAGATTATTCTCTCCCCTTCCTACTCCACCTATGAAGAAGCGCTCAACACACTGACCCTCTCGGCTCTCACTGACCATCACCACGACCTCATCTGCAAATTTGGTGAGAAGCTTCTGCACCATCCTCGGCACCGGCTCCTACTACCACCTGATATCCCTTGCCAAGAATTACTGTTCGACACCACAACCGCATCCAGCCCATACGAGCATGAACTGATTGCTATAAGAACAGCCCAGTCCCAACCATCGTGAAAATTATCAATAACTTGTAATAAACCAGTGTATTCACTCGCAGTAAATCTTACTTTTTGCACTGTCACTATGTTGAAATGCCCTGTAGTTTGAGCTTCTCCCCACCTAGTTATTATATATCATATTTGTATCACTTATGTGACTTGTATAGTATTTGTAAATCAAGAGACCCATTCCCCAATTATGTAACTGTATATTTTCAGCCTTCCAGCTGCTATGCCCTTTCAATAAACCGTTAATTATTATTATTACACTAACATGGGTTGCCTCAACAAGCACACACAAATTTAACATGGGTTACCTCAATCACATTTCAGGACATTATCATTCTGCCAAATTCTAATATAGATATGCTAGGCCTCACCATTTCCTCTAACATGTCATGGAAGCCACACATCCTCAACATTGCTAAAGCTGCCTCCCGAAAGCTGGGAATGTTGTACAGATGCCGTAGCTACTTCACTCCTGAGCAGTTGCTTCAAGTATTTAAGGGATTCATTCGTCCAAACTTGGAGTACTGCTCTCATATCTGGGGTGGCTCTTCTTCTGTCCAACTGCTAGAAGGGTGGAATCAAAGGCATTTCATCTTATTAACTCTCCTCCTTTAGTTGACAATCTTTCTTCCCTTTTTCTTCGCTGCATTGTTGCTTCATACTCTCTCTTTTACAAGTACTTTAACGGGCAATGTTCGGTGGATTTGGCATCCTGTGTACCGCCAGCAAAGCCATGGGTTCGTAACACACGTCTTGCTCGCTGTGCCCACCGATTCTCTGTGGATGTTGGTCACACTAGAATAACCCGTTATAGTACATCTTTTTCATCACACAGCCAAACTGTGGAATGCTCTGCCTTCTTCTGTGTCTCCCTTTAAAAAGCTGGTTTTCCGACATCTTCGTGGTGTAGATTAATATAAACCTTTTCCTTTTCTATTTTTAACTTTCTACTCTTATTTTTTTGCCCCCTAGGCCCCGTTGTGGGTCGGTGACCTGTGCCCAGGTGGGCTGTTCCCCGTAAGAAAAAGAAGCACACACACACACACACACTAACATAGGTTACCTCAACAAGCACGTGTGCACACGCACTAACATGGGTTACCTCAACAAGCGCACACACACTAACAGGGGCTCCTCAACAAGTGCACACACATACTAACATGGGTTACCTAAACAAACACACACACACACTAACATGGGTTACCAACCCACACCAACTACTACTACTTTGTTGTCACTAGGAATTGAGTATGACGATCAGCCAGCTATGATACAATGATATGAGGGATGTCACCTAGGTTGGTGAGTTCTGAGGTAACTAAAGAGGCCGATACGGGACCCGCAGCGTCATTCACATTCGTTGCACATGTGGAGGGCTGCATCTAGTGCAGGAGGGGCGCTGGCAGCGTCTTTCCAGCATTGGCGCTTGTCTGCCTCGGTTTGCAGTCAGGCTAACTCGAATGTATTGACACCTTCTTGTGAAGTGTTCCTCCAAGCGCTACGATGTGGAGTAATTGACTCCCAGGTGAGGGGGTCGATTTGATACTTTTTCAGTTTTGTCTGAAGACTATCCTTATACATTTTCAAATGCCCGCCGGCGTTACATTTACCATTCGTTAGGTGACTGTAAAGTAGATGCTTTGGCAGTCTACTGTTGTCCATGGGGGTAACATGGCCAGTCCAGCGTAGTTGTTCATGGATAATAGTAGCCTCGATGCTCCTATAGTTGGTGTCGGCAAGAAAACTGGTATTCGTTCTAGTCTTCCTAGTGAACACGGAGGATGAAACGTAGACTAAGTTGGTGAAAGTTTTCAAGTGCATTGAGATGCCTCCTGTATGTGACCCATGTCTCACTGGGGAGAACCACTGCTCAATATATGTGCAGCTTTGTCGATAATTTCAGCTCCCTACAGCTGAAGACACGGTTTTGGAGTCTGTCAAAGGCTTGAGATGCACATCTGATCCAACGCTGAATCTCTTCATCGATGTCTGCGGTGGTAGACTGGTGGGAGCCGAGATACCGAAAGTGGGCAACATTAGAGAGAGTAGTACCATTAAGCTGGATGGATGGTGGAGGTGTGTCTGAACCAGGGGCAGGTTGAAAGAGAATCTGAGTCTTACGTACATTCACCTTGAGGCCGAAGTGTGCATACGCATCTGCGTAGGTGTTCAGGATCTCCTGTAGGTCGTGTTCAGTGTGAGCAACAAGAGTGAGGTCGTCTGCATACTGAAGTTCAATAATGGAAGCTGCTGACAACCTTAATTCTTGCCTGGAGCCATCTTATGTTGAAAAGACCCCCCTTCACACCATACTGGATGTTCATCCTGCCGGCTAAAATGGCACTGGCACGAGTAAGGAAGGCAGCCAAGAAAATGGAAAAGAGAGTTGACGCCAGTACACACCCTTGTTTAACCCCTGTTTGGATGGGGAAGAACTCTGACTGAGTGCCGTTGTGCAGAACACTGCCGTTCATGCCATCGTGGAGTTGCCTCACACTGGCGAAGAATTTTGGTGGGCAGCCAAAACGGCTGAGGGTCCACCAGAGGGCTTCCCTGTTGAACGAGTCAAAGACCTTGGTTAGGTCGATGAAAGCCATGTACAGGTCACAAAGCTGTTCTCTGCACTTGTCCTTTATCTGACGGGCAGCAAAGATCATGTCAGTGGTTCCACACGATGGTCTATAGCCACATAGAGATTCTGGGAGGAAGTTTTCCTCCTCTGGAGGAAGTCTGTTTAGGAGGACTCGGACGATAATCTTGCCAGCAACGGAGAGCAGCAAGATCCTACGGCAGTTGCCACAATCTGACCGGTCTCCCTTGGTCTTATAAATATTGACAATGGAGGCGTCATGAAGAGCTTGGGGGATTTCCTCCTTATCCCATATATTCTCCAGGAGAGACTGGAGACGGCTAGTAAGCAGAGGTCCTCCTGCTTTATACACCTCGGCTGGGATTCTAACAGGCCCTGGGGCATCTGTTTGATGGCGGTAGCTACCTCATCCAGGGATGGAGGATAGCTGAGGTGGGTCAGCTCTGGATGCTGAGGGACCTGCTGGGTAGTCAGGACTTCCACATCGGTGTATCAGGTTGAGCAGTGAATGGTAGTGCTCTTTCCAGCATTGAAGGATGCCTTCATCATCTTTAATTATGAAGTTATCATCAGATGAGCAGAGGGGGGCTGCACTACGAGTGATTGGTTCAATAAAACATTTTACACACACACACACACTAACATGGGTTCCCTCAACACAAAAAGTGAAATAAGATTTGGTTATTTTTACTTTGGCTGGGTTGAAATGAGACAGAATTGAATAAATGACTAAGAACTGAAGAAAGAGCAACTTTGTGAATAGTGGAGAGACTGAGAGACGGAGCTACAGTATGAATGATTTACACCAAGCCCATCCTACAGCTGCACTTCTAGAGTAAGCCAAGTCTAATCAATCTTTGGTATTAGAAAGTAATGTTAATTTCCACTTCAAAAAATTTCTAGTACAGTACAGTAAAATACAATACTTACATATCATACATCTTCATATGTCCATCATCAGCAGCTGTGAGGAGAAGCTGAGAATCAGGTGAGAATGTGATGGAGCGGATGGTCATGGCATGACCTTCTAATGTGTGTACCAACTTGCCACTCTCTACGTCAAAAACATTGATGAAACCGTCGATTGCTCCACTCGCAACATACTTTCCATCACGACTCTAAAATACAACAGTAATAATAATAAAATGGTACAAAAGTACTGGACTTAATTGTTATTGTTCAATTTCTTTCTGTTCTTATTTTTTTGCCCCTCAGGCCCCGTTGTGGGTCGTTTGACCCGTGCCCGGGTAGGTTAATTTTTTTTTTCACAAATATACGATATAAGGTAATTAATTAGCCATTACACAAAATAGCTCGGAAATTACCATATACCTTTAATTTGAAGATGTATGCTGTGCAGTACAAGGTATCTAGTTAAACAATTCATACGTCCACATACTGTATACAAAACACTTCACTTTACTAATACTGTACATATAAAATATGTCTACTGTACTGTATTATTTTTACTCCATTCTCACTCTTATGTGGCATGAATAAAAAGGGAGAATTAATAGGTAAGAATGATGCAAGTATTGTGTGTCAGAAAGGATAGGCAATAGGGCTAAAACAAGTAAAGATACCCACATGTACTTATATACATCATAGACTTGCATTACTCTATACTAATTGAATCCTTAAACTCCACAATGAATCAAAGCAATTCATTAAGCTTTTTTGTTGGGTCATCAAGTTTGTACAGCTTTACACCCAAGCACAATATAATTCTAAAGTAGATGATCTACAATCACCCTATGAGCAGAACACTAACTACCTGCAGTATACTCTGTCAAAACTGTTTCTCACTCCTGATTCTTTTCCCCTTTTGGTAGAGGGTTTCTGGACACACTTTGGATCTTCAAACATAAAACAATCATATTAATGAGTAAACTTACATATGCAATTGAGTAAGTAAAGCGTCCTCTGGTGTCTAGCGTTGTCACGTGCCGCCCACCATCCACTGCATAAACATTTATCTTACCAGCATGATTGCCTGAAGCTATGAGATTACCCTCTGGTGAGAACACAACAGACCAAGCTTCAACTGGCCCGCAGTCAATTGTATGCAGCTGAAATAAAATTAAAAATATGAAATTCATTTTCAAAACTTTTTGAATTGAAAATCACTTGTGTAACCACTCTACTTATTTAATATTCCCACAATGATCTATACAATACGGCATATTAAAATACAATAAACATTCATATCATTACTGTACTGTAATTCCTTAAAGTTTATACTGTACCTTGAGTACTACGAGCTCTCACCCTAATAATCAAGAGAAAAATCCGCCAAAATTGTTTTAATTCCAACCCTGAATTTCCTAGATCGATGTCTCCAATAATGATTAGAAAAAAAAAAAAAAATTATAGGAATGAAACACTAATATCTCAATGAGCTAACTGTACTGTATTGGTTACCAGTGTCCTTTATCCAATACTGCATGAAGAATTCAATGACTATTTTTTTAAGATACAGTTCTCAACTCCTCCTTTTAAGGATACACAGTACAGTACAAACCTTGTGGTACAGTACAGCACTAGGTTAATCCTCACCTGTTCACCAGAATGGAGATTCCACAATCGAATGGTTGAGTCTAGGGATGAAGAAGCCGCTATAGTTCCAGCAGCATTAACATCAACTGATATGACTCCAAGCGAATGACCTTCAAGTGTGTGCAGAGGCGTTAGTTCCCCTTCAACGCCGTCCGCCATCCAGCGCCACACTCGAACCATATCATCGAGCCCACCGGTGACAATATACTTTTGTTCTCTAGAAAATTTTTACTTGATTGTTAATACAGATATGTAAAACAGCACAATTTAAAGATTTTTCCTAAAGACATATTTACCTTTCAACATACTGTGCAGGTGCTCCTCTACCAATGAACGACTGAGGTTCCTGAGCCTTGTTCGTAAGTCCAACATTACTCTTATACATCCGAACAAACATTGAAAAATATTAAGAAAATAAAAGATGTACAATACAACTACAGTACTTTATAATCCAATAATAAATGCAGTACAGCCCATTACTCTACAGTACAGTATATCTTACCAGCCTTTAACAGTACAAGGGTACTGTACTGTATTTCATGTGTCATTAACACTAATTACTGTACTCAAATTATATACTTTTGAGCCCAGATCCTTAATTAACATGTAAAAGAATACCTGTATATGAAATCTGAACAAAATCTTATGTTTTTACTTCACAAACTGAAACACAAGGTAATAGGTTAGGCATTTCTGAGGCAACGAGAGCCTATTTTCTGGAAAGTGAAAACTATCGCGTTCAAATGGTAAAGTTAGTGTACAGTATATTCTTGATGAAATGTAAGCAGTACAGCATAAAGATGATTTAAAACTTACAAGCACAGCATAATTGACATTTTAAATATTCAAAATGTAAAGTACTTTAATGTATGAATAGTTTATATTAATTCTGTAGGCAGTTTGATCAATCAATTGGACACATGGACAAGTTTGTTCATACCTCTGAAAGCTTTAAGTCAAATGTTCACGAGTAGAGGAGCACCTGTACTGTACTGTACAGTATTCTAAATGTGATGTACAGTATTTATTTCAAGACTCCTTAATTAACACTAATTATTGGAATTAAAAAAAATTAACTCTGATCTTAAACTAGCATGTATAAGAGTACTTTTATATTAAATTGCAACAAAATAAATTTTTTGACCATTTGCCCTGAAACACTAGGCAATAGTCAGGCGATTTTGTGGCCAAATACTACTGTACTGTATGTTTTTTTGTTTGTTTGTTCTGAAAAATGTGTTTATATAGTAACGCCAGTTTATATTCATGGTAAAACAGAAAAAAAACTTACAGGCCAAACATAAATGGCATTTTAAATATTCTATATAAGAAAAACGGTTTTAAGCATTCAAATTTTCTTGTACTGTATCTTTATGTTTAATGACAGAGCTGCTTTCTGTAGCAAAGACTTGTAAACAAATATGCAAGCATTTTGAAACCTTATCATACATGTCAAAAACATGGCCACCATTTATACAGCCACTACAATAAATACAGTATTATGCAAATTACTCAAGCTATCAGATAAGTTCAGAGGTCCAGTACAGTACTCACGAATCAGGTAAGTTTTGGTCCTCCTCATTCTGAGTCCCTTGGTTTTCTTTATTCTCTTCACCATTCTCCTTCTCATTATCTTCATTTGAATTTTTTTTGGACTTTTCTTCTGGGATAAAATGACCCCAAGCACATGCCCAAATGCCTTCTGAATGGGCATTTTCACGTTTGGTCAGTAGTGAAAACTGTAATTTAATAGATGAATACATTACATACAGTACTAAAATTGGAATAAAAAATGGTCTTTTCTGGCAAAGCCCACAAACAGACAGTCCTATAACATAGACAGTTTCAGGCTGTGCAGATTAGCAGTGGCCGGCAGCCTGGTATTATAGTATGTATTTTACTTCCAGACAACACGCGAGTCGAAGTTATTTTATCTTCACTGTACTATAGGGAAACGTCATAGAAGAAAGTGTCTTAGAATTGTTTAAACTACTGATGACAAAGATCAAATTCATAAGCTTCCCGTGTTGTCCTAAAGTAGAAATTAATCCCTAACGTAACCTAACCTAGCCATTAACAACGGTCCATCAATACGGCTGCCAGTAATACTGAAGGAAATGGCTAACAACATCTGGTGTTAGCCATCTCTTATAGGATTACCCAGCTGCTGTACCTATATCCACTATGGTGAAAAAAGCCAAGATTTGGAAATTATAAAGTGTCCCGTAATGTACAAAGACGGGAAAATGCTCCAACTTTATAAATCTCATATATGTCCCAGTCTGGATGACTGTTTACAGGCATCGAAACCTTCCATCCAGAAAGACTTACCATTCCTTAAAAAAGGTTCAACACAGATCTACTAAGAAGATTCTGGAATTATGTGGTCTCAGTAATCCAAGTAGACTGAGGGCCACAGGACCAACAACACTTCTCACAAGACACAATAAGGCAGCTTGATAAGGATGGGAACCAGGGCCATTTTTTTATATGATAGTCACACTCTACCAACATGAAGAGATATAACTACAAACTCACCATGGCCACACCCAGGATGACTTCAGTATAAAGCAATATTTCAGAGTGGCTGGTAGATTGTTCCATAGGTGTACCACGCTACTAGCCAAAGCTGTGACTGGGACTATAAATAACCTAAACAAGACTATCAAGAACAGTGGAGGGATCCTACACAGACCACCTCTAATTTAGGTAGCCATTAAATAAGGTAAAGTATGGTAAATATAACCAACACCCCAGACCACAATACTGCCAAGGCATGACATGTACAAAAACGAACTCTAATGAACAATAAAAGTATTAAAGTAATCCACATACTTGAAGCCATGCTGTAGTTATTGAATATTTAAGTTAATGAAGTATTAACACAATAAATTAATAAAAAACTAGAGTAAACCACAGAATGACCCCCTGCTCACCATCGTCAGTTGTTTACCTCTGTGTTGCCGCCGCCGCCTACAGAGGTCTCAGTCAGTCTAACACATTATTAACCTTTGAAAATAAATTATACCGAGATTATATTTATGAATTACTGACATTTATCCTATTGGTCTCACTTTTCAAGATATACTATTATCTTAACCGATTTAATCATCATTTCTAGAGAGCATTTTAATCCCAGTTACTATGAGTCACCAAGGTGTTCCTCTACCCCTCAGCCCTCAGTAGTGGCCACAGCTTGGTGAGTGTGACTCCATAGATGTGAGATATACTACGTCTAATTAGTATCCAGCTGAAATATATCATCCAAAAGTAAGTCACTGCCCTATTATTCAGCATTGTTTAATACTTATATGAACTGTAACTTGCCAGATAATGGTGCAATATTTCTATCCTTTTCATTTCTTGTTTGATGGTCTCATAAAAATCCTTTCTTCATTAAGCGGTAGGTAATATCTCAAAAAGTACTGTAGGTTGACATAAGTTTGGGGTCCTTCTGAAATACAAAAGTAAATGTCACTTCATATATTTAATTGATAATATCTTTGGTTTAATTCATCTGGCATTTCATGTGGATCTATTTTATCCTCCTAAATATTCATGTGCTGCCTAACAAATAGTATCACATTAAATTTTCAGGATGATGAATTTATATAAGATGAGATGTAATGTCCTCTCACTTTCCAAGAAGAGAAAGCATATAAGGAAGTCAGTGATTTCATTCCCACCTATGAGTTCTGCACACACCACCACAACACAAGATGTCAAGTCTAACATGGTGAGAACTTTAGTATGAACCCAGAAAACTTGGTTAACATCTTATTATTAACTGAAGAGATGGTAATACACTAACTTAATTGGGTAATTAATGGTAAATATTTTGTAGTTGCAACCACCTAATAGACTTTTGAAAATGGGGTTTTATAGTGTAAATCATCGTGTTAAATACAAATATGACCTTCGTTGCTGTCGGAAATAAGCAGTAGGTGAGATATTGAACAAAAATGGAAGGTCAAACAATGTAAAAAGTAAAAACCTCAAAGAAACTAAAAAAACCTAAGCTAACCTGTAATTATTTACGACTTCACAGCCGTTGATTTTTCATAGAATACAAATTTTAAAATGCCACAATTTCACTGTGTTTTATGGTGGACACTGTTTTAGTTATGGTAATTGTGTTAACAAGTGGTTATTACTAAATTAAACCTAACCTAACCTTAGTGGATAAGGAAAACAAGCAGCAGAATCATTGTTAGAAGACCTTAACAACCTAACCAAAAAAATGACCTAACCTTACCTAACTTCCTAGCTGTGAGGCTCAATCCTCCAGTCCCCCGGCACATTAAACAGAAATAACTTACTATTATATGGTGTAAATTGACGTTTTTTGTGGACGTTAGAGCAGCAACCCGATCCATTTGGCTTATTGACATACACTGGTGACTGGCGTAGATCGGAAATGATTGGCTGTGTACCACCGCATCACGCCGAGAAAGACAAAGTGCGTGCCTAGTTGCCTAATTATCTACCAAACAAAGCAATATCCATAAAAAATTATTATTATATCACAACTCGCTGGTGAAAATATAGTAAGAATATATGTAAACATCAAAATAAATAATTCATCGGCTGTGAAGTCTGTCATATTAGCCCTTAATTAATATAGAAGAGAAAATAATGAGCTTAATTTCCATATGGTTATATTAGATAATATTCTCTTGGTTTTATGGTACATTAATTTGTCTATCGAATATTATTTACAGTTGAGTATTTCACAGCCAATACTCTCCTTAACTGATTGCTCTATTTCATTTTTCTTCAATATATTTTCCTGTTGCTGTTTCTATGCCCCTTTATGTATACATTCTTCCTTATGCTTTCACACTTGAGTTTGTTAGGACCGCTTTGAAATTTTCATGAAATTTCCAGATATAAACAAATTGTTAATATAGGTTCATCTTGACTCCTTTGATAGTTGAACCCTTAAGACAATGCTGCTAGGTGTGTGTGAAGGTGCTTTAGGTAGCAGTAATATTAATGGAAAACTTATAAATTCAGTGCTATGCCATGTTCATATATTGTACTGTATGTGATTTAAATGTCCATTAAGTGCCTTTCTATTTAATGATGATTTACTGCTGCATGAGGCCAGATTGCTAGCTTTGTCACGAGAGGAAGACAGCTTAATGTTGCATAAGATTACCTTTTCTGTACAAGATGTTTGACTGTGGTGTTGTAAGCAGATCCTACCTGAGTTTTCATACTGTGAATACAATACGTATTAGAAATATCTTTAATTACTGATTAGTATACACAAATATGTGTAAAAAGTTTAAAATAAGGATATACTGTATACAGTATTATTCTGTACACTGCATAGGTACAGTATACCATGTCTCTTTCAGGTGCTCAGAGAACAAATTATCGATGAAACTGATTTGAGCAGTGACCATCTGACTCCTGAGTTACAGTTATATCTCATCACTCAGTCCTGTCGGCTCTGGACCAGCCACCCACAACACTCCCCATTCCTTGACCCTTTCTGGGCCTTTTATTGGCCAGGTGGACAGGCAGTGTCCAGGTTAGTCATCAGGTTCCTCTTTGTATATGCCCATATTTATACCTTATGTTCTTGGCAAGATGCAAAATGTTACCTTTAAATTAAAGAAAAAATATTCCCTAACCTATTATTGATGTACTGTACAGTATTAACACTTTAAATGGTTGTTCATAATTTAGTCACTTTAATTATGATTACAGTATAAACAGTACAGTATAGCAATGGGTGATTGAAATCATATAAATAAGTACAGTTCCTGTAAACACTTACAGACTGCTTCTATGCTGCTCTTGCTTAGATTGATTTCACAGTTTCTGAAGTACTGTTTTCCCAGGTGCCTGTTGAAGGATTTTTAAAATAAAAATATATACTGTACCGTGATGTACAGATTTTTTTGGGGATTTTGTCATTTTGATATTTTTTTCAGCTTAAAAAAAACATAAGTACTGTACTTGAAATGTGTTCTTTGCAGGTATGTACTTGACAATTCTCATATTGTGAAGGGGAAAAGTATTCTTGATTTTGGAAGTGGATGTGGGGCAAGTGGGTTAGCAGCTAAGTTATCAGAAGCAGAGCAAGTCACCTTTAATGACATAGATGAAGGTAAAATGGTCATGTGAGATGTTTCTTAGTCTCTATCATTAGACTGAATTATTTAAAGCTGTGAAACTTTTGAAACATAATTGCATTTATAAGTATGAGAACTGTTACAATTTTGTAAAAGTATATAGTCTAAGAAACATACACATATACTTGTACTGTACAGTACAGTATACTGTACTGAGATGGGCATACTCACACACATACAAATGCCAATCAGTGGCAAGGATAAATTAAAGTAAATAAGATGTACCTCAGTAGATCTTCAACTGAATTATACTGTAATATTTTTTATTATTAAATAAAGAATTTTCATTCAACAGAGTAATACTGTATCACTTCTTTTAGAATTAGATTTTTTTGACTTGGTTTTATTTACAGTTGCTATTGAAGCAGTATTGTTGAATGGAGTGAAGAACAATATAACAGTAGATGCTGTCTCAACTGCCAACCTCATTGGTTCATCGTGCCAGCATCACGATGTTGTTCTTGTCGGTGATATGCTCTATGACACTGAATTTGCAGATGAAGTTCTTGTTTGGCTAAAAGGGATCCATGAAAGGTAACAGTCTGGACTAGATCAGCATTGTTTTAATTTAAAGTACTGTACTGTACTGTAGTGGTTCATGTCTATAAACCCAGACTACATTATTTTCTCTTTATTAATTGTACTGTTATCAATCTTACATTTCAAAAAAAATATTGCCGTGATTGTCAACACTGTATCACCAGCATACTGTATGTATCTTAGTAGGTAGTAGGCAGCTACCAAACAGGGAGGTACTACCGCCTGGGAAGATATTGGAAGCGTAAAGTGTTGTCTTATGGTAGACCCTACTGCCATATGGCATCACAAAAATTGTGACCAAGTTCCAGGTTGCTGATCTGTCTTTCTGCCTCATTTACAAACAATTGTAGGGTCTCAGTTGTTTCTCTTACATGACAACACAACATACATACAGTATTGCATTTTTCACTGATTTTTTTTTTCATTCTTGTATTTCTTTGCATTTATTTTTATTATTATTATCATCACAGTGTTGTTGTTATTATTATTATTACCATTAATATTTTATTTTACTTTTTATTATAAATTTTATTTACTATGAATTATTATTATTACTATTACATTTTTGCCCCCCGGGCCCTGATGTGGGTCAGTGACGCGTGCCCGGGTGGGCTGATCCCCGTAAAAAAAAAAAATGTATGGAGTCACATTTATACAGTACAGGGTACTTATATTAGTTGCCATTCTACACTAAGTCAGGGGCTGCTTATCACAATCTCTCATTCCATTCTGATAAGGATCGTGTTGCTTGTGATAGCTCTTATAATATGGTACTTCGGCATTTTTCAGTGGCTCCCTGGTGCTTGTTGGAGACCCCGGAAGATTTGCTTTGGAGTCTCATCCTCTGAGAGCTTCGCTAAAATGCCTTGGAAAATATGAACTTCCTCAGTCAACGGTTTTAGAAAATAATGGTCATTCTCAAGCATTTGTGTGGACTTTTAGATAACAGATTATTTGTGATGTAGATAACTTTCATTGAATTATCTGATGTTATTTATTTCATTATATATAGTACATGCTGTATACTGTACTTCTCATTATCTTATGCTGAAAAATTAACTTGATACAACCACAACTTGAGGATGTTAGTTTGCATGTAACCCTATACCGGTACCATACACATACAGTACTGTATTCCACATTCAGTCAAGGTTTCAAAATTTGTGCATTACAGTACAAGTCTTACATACTGTTCTGTATCTGAAGACTAAAATAAAAATATCCATAAAATAAAAGAAATTCAGTACAGGATATTGCCAAGTGAATGTTACTTGGGTAATAATCAATATGACCAAGGAAATTAGATATACAAACATACTGCTGCTAAATCTTTATTGTACAGTACAGTATTTGCATTTCACATAACATTTATTACTGTCATAAATCTTGTTTAATGTATTTGTGTTAAACATAACAGTACTATACGCTATTCCACCAACAGTAGCGGATGTCCGAGCCACTAGGGATCATAGCCACAAGTCCTGAAAATTGTGAAGGCAAACTTTTTGGGAGTGAAATTGTAAACTCTTGCAACAATCTGCCAGAGTGTCGTGATGGCACCAAGTGTGAGCTCCTGCAAGATCAGACTTGACCAACCCTAGAGCAGGTACAGATACATTCTGGAGCCAGTACATGCCAACAGTGTATAAAAGAGACGTGACTGACCGCCCAAGCGGCTAATGAGCTGATCATTGGTAAAGATGATAAAAAAAGTAGGAGTAATTAATAATTATGAAAGAAACACTCACTGTTGATATTGTGTTGTATTAGATAACTTGTCCAGTACAGTATCGTACTGTGCCATCAGACAGGACATGTTTATACAAATATAATTGTTTTCATCATTCTGAATCACACAATAACCCTTTTATATATTCCATGTTTGCATCACTTAAACATTCAATTATTTTTAAATTGTTTATGTATATCAATGCTTCATACAACAAAGGGGGACCTTTTCATTAAAGTTGTCGCACTTTATGTAATGGGGGGGGGATTCTTATTAGAAAGTATAGATAGAATATTTATAATAGGAATGTAAAGTGAGGAAGTTTGGTAGCGTGGCCGGTTAGTTATTTAACTGTAAATATGTTCTTAGGGGAAATCTTTCTAAACACCAATTCTAAGTACAGCTATTTAGTATTCACTCAATGACACAGACACATTAATAGAACATTATACCGAAGTTACTAGACACTGAATCTCGGGCACAAACATGAAATGGATACACTTCTCACCGTAAGTAACTCACCCTATGGATAGCTCTGACAATGACACACGTGTGACCTGAGGGAGGACCAGCAGGTGCTGCTGGACTATGTCTCCTGTGGGAGAGACTGCTAGCTGGAGATGTGGTGCTGGGGAGGGAAGTCTCCCTTCCGACCTCGACTAGTGACGAGCGTGACTCCGTCTTCTGTCGATAGTGACGTGAAAGTGATCTGCGTGGATGGGGCTGCAGGGCCTTTATATTGGAGGAGAGCCGGCAGATGACCTCTCCTAATTCACATTAAACTGGTTAGATCTGGACGGCTGTGTTTGTCCAGGTGCGTGGTCATGTCGCCGGTCGGTAATGCTTCCTAATTATTACCACCCGGGTGTGTCTTGGCTGGGTGTGGTTTCTGTAACACGTTCATATCGCAGGGTTAACTCAAGTACTTTGTGGCCGTGCCCTCTTGGGTCAGATCTTGCTGTCACTGTAGGGTGTGTCAACTTATGTGGGTTACCACTTGGGCACCTTCTTACTGTTATATGTGTCGTTCTTCTCTGGGCTGTAAGCTGTGGTCTGATAAACAATTATTACATTATATTTCCTTTTTTTATTTTTTTTTATTAATATACATTTTAATAAATGTTAAATAGCTTCGCCTTGCAAGACCACTTTTTTCTTTGGGAAAGACTTACCATAGACAAATTGATATTGAAACAGTTTATTTAGCTAGAAGAACACGGATACAGAGTCGATTAAAAAAATCATAATACAGTACAGTATTAACATGGCTGAGCCAATGAGAGCCTGGGCTGTCTTGTAGGCACAATTGTGACAGACATCAGGGGTGTACCCAGATATTTAATGAGGGTGGAGGCACAGCCTATACATACATATTTTAATATTTTATTTTATATTTTGACTTTCAAAACCTCTTGATTTCAGAATGCTTTATGTGTAAATAAGCTGAGCATGTTACTGGCAGGAGAGCTACATGTCAAGTGGTTTGTGAAGATATTACAGCAGTTTGAAATGATGGATGAAAGTGAGTGAAAAGAGACTGTTTTTGCCCTTAATTCAAAAGTGACGTGCTTCTGTCTTTGGTGTATACAGTACTGTCATCCCGTCTGGTCACCGAGATCTATTACAGACTCAATTGATTGAGAACATCCAAAAGAGGGCCACCAGACTGATCCCTGCAGTCCAACGCCTCAGGTACAGTACCAAAAGATGTTAGAATGCCTACAGTTGCTTTAGCTAATACTATGGATGAGTAGGAGATGGTTTATTTGTAAGCACCAGTCTTTACTTCACTTATGTCGAGTGTTCATAATTGGAACTAGTAGATGCTCGACCCACTAGAGATCACAGCCTCAGGTTAAAGAAGCCACAAGTTCAGAAAATTGTCATAGCTAATTTTACAGCACAGGAGGTGCCCAACTTACGAACACCCACCAGTACAAACAGGGCTCAACTTGAAATTTACAGTATTTTATTTATCTGATGACTTATTTTTTACTTTCATTTACTGTATATTGTCATTCTACTTTTGTCTTAAATTAAGTAATATTTTAGATGTATATTTAGGCTATGATGTAGTGGGATTTTAAATATTGTTTTGTTAGTGGAATGCTCAGCATTCTTGTGTTTCCATACTCATACAATCTGTCTCACTTTAAAAAGCTGGTTTTCCGGCATCTTCTGGTGTAGATTTTTTTTTCTCCGCCCCCTAGGCCTCGTTGTGGGTCGATGACCTGTGCCCGGGTGGGCTATTCCCCGAAAAAAAATGGTATGCATATAGAATGTGTTCTGACTTATGTACAAATTCCACTCAAGAATATCCTCAGGAACGGAACCCATTCATAACCCGAAGACCCCCTGTACACAGGAATTGTGCCTGCTGTTAGCTCTTACAAGTGATCTTGCCTGAGTCTAGAACACTACTGGAGCCGGGTTGGGAATATGGGACCTGGCTGGAAATATTGCCAACTAGACCATTTTATTAAGTAGTACTGTATTTCAATATACAAAATTTAGTGACTACAGAAAAAATAAATAAGATTAGTTCAGTTTCACCCCTTCACCTCTAAACACACTCAATATTTTCTTAAATAATGGAAAAGATGAATGAATTGGCAACTCAACTTCAACCAAGCCTGCCACAAGATCTAATTTCTTATTATTTAAGCAAATACAGTATATGAACATTTGGAAAATTATCATGATCTTAAATAACGATTAATATTTTATATAGTTAGAATTCTATTTTTGGATTATTTAATATATATCCTGACAGTGATACAGCCAAAGATAGATCCACCAATCAAAATACCATTACATACAGCCTTACTTTACTAAGTACTGTACGTATATAGCAGTACGAGTACAATAGCCAGGGTGGGGGTTGATGCATCTTGTCTGACTGTACTGTACATGAAATATGTAATGTACAGTATATAACAATGACAAAGTAAAAACAAAAGAATACTGTACTGCATGCAGTATGCATTCCAACAGAAATTTGGAAAACATCTTCCAAGACAATTTTAACAAAAAGTGGTTGAGAAAAATCTATAGTATTTCCACAAAGTTTTGAACTATAGTATGCAGGGGCAGATCCAGCAATATCAAAAGGGGAGGCATCCAAGAAGTTGTGGGTGGGGGAACATGGCGAGCACAGCAAGCCCAATGGGGGCTGTAAGCTCCCTTCCCCCTTTCCAATTTTTTTTTCTGATCTAACCAATATAATGGGTATTTTGAGGCCATTTTGAAGCCATGTGCATGTGATGTTAGGAGATATTCTGAAGTCAATAGTAAATAATGTTTGCTATACAAAAATGCCTGAGTACAATATTGCATTAAAGAAAAAGTATTGGATTTTTCTGATGAAAAGGGGGGTCTGGACCCCCAGGAACTTTCCCCTGGATCTGCCTCTGGTATAGACTAGATTTTGATGATCTCAAATCATTATTCTTCAAAGAAGTAGATTTTACGCATGAGTGTTGATGTTGTGTAGGGAATTTGCTTGTTTTGATGAAGCATCCTATCATTTGGGTTATATGATTCATAGTCTGTGGCAACGAGTCGTGTAACACAAAGGAGCATTGTGGCCAAGTCATCTTTAAAAGCATCTTTAGATGAAAAAACTTGAGATAGGTAATGCAGAAACACACTGCCATGCATCCCATTGTTTTTAGACTTGAAGGCAAACATTCCTGCAAGAATAAAAATAACAATTAAACAAAAGTAGTGTGTGAGAAACTTCATCTCAATGCACAGAACTGTGTTGGGATGCCATTCAAAAGAGTAAATTAAGGTTATATTACTGTAACAAAAAACTGTAGTAACCTTGAACTAAATACACTATCAATATGTAGGTACAGTATCTCTTGAGTAATTATGAACCTCTTTACCAGGTGTGGTTGTGATCCATGCACTCTTAGGTTGCGGCCGCACTGAGAGCGGGCGGGAGCTAGGGCAGGCAGTTGGAGGGAGTTGTCATGGCAACACTCCCTCCATTCTCGCACCGACTGCACAACTGTATGTTCACGATCCCTGTCTGGCGCGAATGCTCAAAGAGATGGCTAACTCATGGAAGTCTCAGCTGTTAGAGAACAGCATGCTGAAGTATCAATCATTTTCAAGACAGAAGAAAGTGTGGGTACACCAGATAAATGTGGAGAGAGAGAAGCTTGGTGAATACCACCATCTGACCCCACAATTGCAAGAGGACCCTGGCAAATTTTATGAATATTTCCGCATGAAGCCTGAGACTTTCCATAAGTTGCTATCTTTTGTCGAACCTCACCTCAAAAAACAAACTACAAACTTCAGGAACCCAATATCTCCAGAGGAAAGGCTGGCAGTAACAATCAGGTACTTAACACTTTGAATATATATATATAGGAAAGCCTCCGATAACGACGATTTATATTTAAGACCTTGGTTAATTTAGGACCCAATTCAATTTCCACCATTAATTTCTTCGTATTTATGACAAAAATAGATTATAAAAAAATATATATATACATTTTCATATAAATAATAACTAAATCACGATATGTATTATAAAAAATAAAACACGCCTTGCACACGGAGGCTGCCGGGCTTGCGACTGGTGACTCCAGCATCACTAGTATAAACAGTCACAGCTGGTGAACCTTTTGTTTTCACGCTCTTGCCTGCCCGCTCTCAGTGCGGCCGCGGCCTAATTGTTTCCAGTTTTCAACCTTATTCCCACGGAATTTAGTGAGGCTTAAGAAAAGTAAATACTGTACTATACATTCAGATGGCACTGTAAAATTGTACCACCTATTGAGATCTCCATACCTAGCTACTCAAGAGAAGCAATCAACAGTTGTATGTATATTGCCCTTAACAGTACTGAAACTGCACAGTTTGATCCATGTCCCAAGGTGGTAAATTTTTTGTTGAAGAAAGAGCGTCGCTACAGTGTTACACCTAAAGAAGTTTATCAAAACAGAGAGTTTGTAAAAAAATTCATTCCCCAAAATAGCACTGTTTGAGTCAAATATTTAATAAATACTCTTTGTACTTTACAGTATTCCCTTTTCATAACTGCTAAGGAAAGAATTTAGTTTGCATCATTATAGTGTAACATCTATGAATCTATTTTGTGTAAGTGTAAACCACTTTTTTACTTTTTTTTTCTAGTGCAAAGAATGTCTGATAAATATCCCAATAAATATCAGTTAATTTTTATATCACTGTAGTAAATACCAACCCTTTGTTTGCCACAGTAAAATTTCCTTAACACCGTAGTGTGTTATCTTGTAAGTTATGGTGCAGTTAACATTCTCACCTTTGGCATAAGTTGAGTTAATATATAAATGTTAAATTTATGGTACAGTACTTATAAATAACATCTTTAGACATCAGCAATACAGAAAATTTTTGTAATTATCAGCTAAAATACTGTAAAATAAGAGTAAATTAGCAAACCAAAGCATTTATGAAAAGTAAAGTATGTATAAATACTTGTACTGACCAGGATAAGAAGCCCACATGATAAGCATATCAGCATGAAGTGGGATAACATAGTCTTCCTCTCTAAGTCCTTGAACAGAATCTGTTTGTATGGGCATTCCCCTCCTTTTGCTCTTTAGTTGAATACCTTTGTCAGTTTCCTCTCCTCGACAGGCCTTCAACCATGATATGTAAGGAAGAGATTATGATCTATTATGTCAGAGCAGCCTATCACAGATAAATTAATTTTTTTATATTAGTGAGTGTGAATCAGTGACCAAATTGCATATAGAGCTAACGGTGCAGCTAAAGATAGTATTTAAAACATACTGTATATTTGTATTAATTCGAACATATTATGATGCTAATAATGCATTATAAATGTGAGTTGTAAGTTTTGTTTAGATACAATTACAGCATATGAATAAATCTTAAAGAATTGGCAGGTCCAGCGTGTACAGTTAGTACTGTGCAGCCCCAGCCATTAAGCCAATATTTTATTGGCTTTTCACTAAGTGTTACTGCACTAAATTTTTATATCCAACAGAGTAGTACAGCATGCCCTTAAAATTTGCAGACCTTGATTATTTGGGGTTGACACCCTGAATGTACCCAAGAATGTCTAAGGGTAGTTTTAAAGTTACCGGCATTTTTGTGGCCGGGACAGGGAGCCATTTGTTCTAGAAGCAGTAATTCTTTTACCTGTATTGTATGTGTGTGTGTGTGTAGAGACAAACACACATATACAAATAAATAATAATGTGAAGATCCTCTCACAAATACAGTGGTCCCTCCATTAACGAGTGGTTAAATTTACGAGATTTTGGTTAACGAATTAGCTCCCATAAGAATTTTCAGTTCTATTAAATTGTGCAAGTTCTATTAACGACAGCCTTACGAGAAACACGCTTTGGTGCAGCATCAGCTGATCGGTTAGTCCGCCAATACAGTAATCAGTTCTATGTTTACATTTGTTTCCAGTGGATTAAATATCAAGAAAGTTGTGCTCTTGAATATTTTTGCATTTTTTATTTTAAAATTATTGGTCATTCTGAAATTTAGTTAACATATTGATAATATATGCAGTACAGGGCACAATTTGTGCGCCCAACAGCTGATCGAATCACCCGCCAACGTTTCTCAGTTTAACATTGTTTACAGTGGAGTAAACATCGAATTTGTTAGTCTCTTGAATATTTTTGCATTTTTACATTAAAATTATTGGCCATTCTGAAATTTAGTTACCACATTGATAATATACAGTGCAGAAATTATTAAGAAATACGAAGAAGGCATTAGAACCAATGCTCTCTGTAAAGAAGCATGTCATCATCGACTGCATCTACAATCATTTGTTTGCTACGCAAACAAAGCCGACGGGAATACGCATACACACCTCAAAGTAAGTTAAAATACAGTTTTCTATTGTTTTTTATTTATTTTACAGTTTATTGTACAGTACAGTACCGATACTGTACAGTATTTAGTTTATATTTAATGTTTTGTTAATTCTATTACCGGTATACAGTACAGTGACCCCTCGTTTAACGAACACCTCGGTTAACGTAATTTCGATTAACGAACTGCCTTCCATAAGGATCTTCAATTCAGTTAACGAAAAAAAATTCGGTTAACGAAGTTCTTACGAACCGACCTCAACATGTTTTCGCTTGCACTGACCGGGCAACCAGCTTTAGTATCAGTCCGCCAATACATTAATCGGTTCTAGGGCTTAAATTCCTTACTATTTTAGTAAATATCAAGAAGTTTATACTATTCAATAATTTTAAAAGTTTAATATTCAATTTTTTAGTCATTTTAACAATTATTGAACATAATTGAAGGTAAAGTGACTAGTTTAATGCGCGGCATCCAGCCTCTTAACACAGCAAACAGGCGTTAGTCTCTCTCTGTTTTCACTGGAGGTAACATCTTGCTTGAGACTCTCTTCAACTAAAGGCTTTTTTTCTGTGTTTCCAAGCAAATTATTGGTCATTTTGAAATATATTTTACATATTGACAATATATAATGCAGTGCAGTGTTGATTTAAAGAAATAATCTTGAAATACACCAAGAGAACTAAAATTTTATGGGTGAAATGGCACCATGGGGTGACTTCTCTTCCACCCCAATGCCTTCTCTTCTTCCTTCTCCTCCACCCCCATTCTAATTCCCATCATCATCATCATCCAGGAGCCTTCTACATACACACCTCAAAGTAAGTGAACTTTTCTACCATTTTTGTTGAATTAAGGAAATTTTCGGTGAGCTGGAACCAATTACCCAAAAACCCATTGAAACAATGGTTTCGGTTAACGAACTTTTCGGTTAACGAACTACCTTCTGGAACGGATTGAGTTCGTTAATGGAGGGGTCACTGTACTTTGTATGTATACTTTTTCTGTGAGTTGGAACCAATTACCCAATATCCCACTGAAATAATAGATTCAGTTAACGAAATTTTCAGTTAACGACTGACTGTGAAACCAATTGTGCTCGTTAATCGAGGGACCATTGTAATCGGAAAAAAAGACAACAAAATATACTTAAAATGTTAGGGTCTACCCTCGAGTCAACTCCGTGTTCGTGTTTTGTTCTTAAAGTTATGACAAAGTACGGAGTTGACCTGAGGGCAGACGCTAACATTTTTAATATATTTTGTTGTAATGTTTCTGGTTATTGGTGGGAGGATTTTCCCATTATCATTTATTTGTACATTATATGTTTTTTTGTGTGTGTGTGTTTACCCACACACACATATATATAAAAGTAAAATAAATAATTGTCCTAATGGCAAGCATACAAAGGGAATATACATTTCTTTGCACACAAGTAAAGATGTATCCCCCACCCCCCCGGTCAGCAAATGTTATTCGCTGCCATTTTGAGAACCTAACCCCAGCAAATTTTAAAGGCTTGCTGTTTCTTCTACTCTCGTCAAAATAAATATTTATCTACAAATTCTAACTCAATTGATGACTGATAAATTGTCTGTTTCATGAAATTCCATTATGAATAAAACTGCAGGGTGTAAAAAGGGATAACAGAAGAGCAGAGTAACACAGAAACCCTTGCAAAATATAGGAGAAGAAAGTGGGATGGACCATACTGGACATATAGGGAGACCAGTTAGTCATAACTGACAGAGCTATCTACTATAAGTGTACAGGGTGCACAGTTAAAAGAAAATTAATATAGATAAAGAACTCAAAAAAGATGTGTGAAAGGTAATGATAAATAATGCACCTGTATTTCTACTTTGTTTACCTGAATGAAAAACATCTTTGGTTTTCCAGCAAGAGAAGGACATTTCTCAGCAGTAAAGTACTTCCATAATTCTGATGTATTCATTTTGTCATCATATGTATTGACAAACTCCTTGTTGGTTTTTTCATCAACACCTCCATGACTCATGAACACCACTGCCAGTGCATCACGATTGCTGTGGTCTTCTTTACTAACTGAAAAATTTATTGATTGATTTATAACCAGATGAACATAGTACTGTAACATGCTTAATATGTGCTTTACAGGAGCAGACTATTCATGTTATTTATTTTTACAGGTACAGTATTGATAAAATTCACTACTGTACCCAATTTCAGACATATAATTACACTATTTAGTAAACTTGATACTGTACAGTAACAAACATTTAAAAACCAAGTAACTTTGTACAGTAATTTTTAACCCATTTATTTCAATAAAAACAGATGTCTGACTAACCAATAAACTGACACCTGGTAAAGAGGGTAACATTAGCTGTTTTTATTAATACAGTAGACCCTTGCTATTCGTAGGTTTGCGATTCGCGATTTTGACGATTCGAGGTAAGCAGCTGGTGGCTAGCTTGCTCGCCTTTTCCCGCAGTGCAACGAGTCACCTCATGAGCCCACAGCGTCTCATCTACCTCTGTTCATGCTCAACCATTGCCTGTGACCCAGCAACTTGTGTTGTACTCTCAAAACTTTAGTGTTTTTGTGTGAAAATGGCCCCTAAAAGACTGCCTTGTGATGCTAGTGGAGTGAAACATAAAGGGCAGAAGTCAGTGATGACCCTGACAAAGAAAGTTGAATTATTAGACAAGTTAAAGGAGCGGATGAGTGCTGCTGCGGTTGGTTGGTTGTTTGGTGTGGATGAATCCACAATGCAGTATACTGTATAAAGAAGAATGAACAAGTACAGTAATTCACGATTCTGTTCAAGTGAGTGCTCCTGCCAGTGCTAAAGTGATGTAGGTTGTTTATGCCCATTTTTACAAGTCAACAGGTGGGGAAGGGGCTAGTGTGACTACTGAACCAACTTTTAGATTGGTTCAAGAATTTTAAGAAAAGATTGTCTCCATAATGTGAAGCTGTGTTTAAAGCCGATGAAACTGGTCTATATTGGAAGAAAATGCCTGTTAGAACGTACATAAACAAGCAGGAGAGGCGTGCCCCTGGGTTCAAGGCAGCCAAGGATAGAGTGACGCTCGTCTTCTGTGGCTGTGCAGCTGGCCACATAATCAAACTTGGCTTGCTTTACCGCTCAGCAAACGCTAGGACTTTAAAGGGTAAAATCAAGACCCTTTTATCAGTTTTTTGGTCATCAAACAAAAAGGCATGGGTAACTGTGCAAGCATTCCTGGATTGGTTCCATAAAAGCTTCGTGTTGGAAGTGGAAAAGTACCCTGCTTCTAAGAAGATGGAATTCAAGGTGCTATATTATTGATAGATAATGCATCAGGCCACCCAGAAAGTTTGCAGGTTAGCCATCCAGGTGTAGAGGTGGTGTTCCTACCCCATAACACCACTGCTCTTATTCATCCTCTCGATCAGGGTGTAATATGCACCTTCAAGGCATATTACACCTGATGCTCTTTTGGTTGTATCCTTAGTACCATGGATACAGACTCTGACCTTGATGTTAACAAGTGTTGGAAGGAGCACAGTACAGCATTGTGGACTGCATTACCAACATCAGTGAATCATTCAATGAACTCAAACCAGAGACAGTGAATGCTTGTTGTTGGTGCACCTTATGGCCTGAGTGTGTGAATGACATTGTCAGTGTTGCACGTCAATTGGGTGGTGAGAGGTTTGTGGACAGGGCTGCTGAAGATGTGGAAGAACTGACAGACGAGGATTTGGAAGAGTTGGTAAAAAAGTGCTGAGGAAGATGAAAAAGAAATTATGGAATTGCAACAAGATGGTTTGTGCTTGAACAATTTTGGTGAACTATTTCGACAGGTGAAGATGGTAACTGATTTCATTGTTGACCATGACCCTTCCATGGAACGCTTTAGACGGTCCGAGAAATCAACCAGGTATTGTTTCCCTACCAGGAAATGTTTGAAGACCTCAAAGCCAAGAAGAAGCAACTACCAATCATGATGTTTTTTAAGAAAGAACCAGTCGCTCGCCCAGCTGATTCGTCTTCCTCCCTCACTCACTCAGCTGCTACTGCCACCACTCCACCCTCCTCCTCCCAGCCACCTTCCTCCCGGCCACGCACCACCTCACCACCCACCTCCCGGCCACCCACGACCTCACCACCCACTTCCCGGCCACGCACCACCTCACCACCCACCTCCTAGCCACGCGCCACCTCCTCACCACGCACCTCTCCATCACCTGCCTCTTCACCAACCACCACTGATTCACCCTCTTACAAAAGTGATCCTGATGATCCCTCTATGCTTCAGTAACCAGATGTCTCCCTATGTACAGTGCACCACTTCATCAAGCTCCAGACTTCCACATACGAATGTAAGTACAGTATTGTGACTTAAGTTTCTCATACACAGTATAGGTATACAGTAGTGCACTAAGGTAGTTTAAGATACTATTCGCGGTTTTGTCAATTTGCACTATTCCTTGGAACCTAACCACCACGAAAAGCAAGGGTTTGCTGTACATATAGATAATTAGCCCATCTATAACAAAAACTATCACCCTTCACAATTACAGTACCTTGTTTTAATATTTCTAACAAAGAACTTTTCTCTTCATGCCAGTATTCTTTAACCTCAAAACGAAGATGTGAAAAAGCCTTTTTGCAAATCTGTACATCATACTTGGCACAGTCACGCCTCTGTGGAAAAAGAGAATTTCAATGTTAACAGATTGGTAAAAGTTGTATACAGTTTGGTGTGAATCTTCTCCAGGTGCATAACTATTACACAAGTACAGTACCATTATTTTTATAGATATACTTGTGTACATTGTGTTTTAGAATTACTGTACTGTACATTTATTGCCTCTGTTAAATCCCAAACATTTATTTCTCTTCCTCATAATCTTACCCATGTTTGAATTGCTTTATGAGGATTCTATACTCGTGTAAGCAGATAAACTTTGATTACCCCAGGGAGCTATCACACTGCCTTGCCAGGTAAGAGAGCACTTGAAGTCCTCCATATAATGCCCAGTTTCCACTCTGTAAAAGTAGGTAAGTAATAGGAAAGGCATCCAGCTGTAAAACTTGCTTCAATTTGCCTAATGGCAACGGGACACAATGATGGTGATGATCTCGCCATTTCTTAAAGATAATTCAAACAGCCCAAGTTTACTCCTACTTTAATTTTCCCACACATTTTATCTTTATAATAACTTGAACAACTTATGTATATCTACTGTAGTCTTTTTCTCTGTTTCAGCTATCCCCCTCCCCCCACCATCACCTTTCTAAATGATATGCAGGTACTGTTACAGATGTGTCCCTCCCCCCCCCCTCCCCTGTAGTGACCCGTGTCTCCCAATGGCAACATCGCAGTGATATTATTACTATTTATGAATGACTGGGTATTGGTCATGTAACGACGGACGTGATTGGTGGATAGGTTTGCTATAGGTCATATAAGTTGGCCGTTAGGAGAGACGGGTTACCACAGGGGGGCATAGGAACATATTACCACAACTGTACCCGTACCTTGTACTGTACTGTACATGTACTGTACTGTAGTTTTGACATCTCTCAAATACTGTAATATTGTCTTATATCCTTAAACCTTTTCCATATCAATTCTCTCTGAATATCCAAATCTCCATATCTTTCAGTCTCTCAATATTGTATTACCTCAAACTTTTTATCATTTATCACTCAGCATTCTCCTTGCTTCTAATGGCCACTACAACCACTTGCAATATGAGTCAACCTCAAGGTTCAATTATGACAGTCTTCCAGAAACTATGAATACAAATTTAACTTTTCATCAATACTTTTACCAGTTTTAATGCAATTCATTTACTTTGTGACCATCATATAATTGATGATTTCCTTCATCAATACATATAATTTTCACCACTTATAAGTTCACTAATCATTCAGGCAGTTGGTCTACCCAGTGTTAGTAGTTTAGTACAGGAGGAAACTGAAGTCCAGGAGACCTGTGATGTTTGGCAGTGAGGGTCACACCCTTCTCATGTGTGCCCTGATGAAACAGGACTCGAACCCTTGACTTACAGTATTAGGGAGAGATACACATGTTACCTCTGTACCACCAACACCCCCATACAGTATTTTTCTCACTTTTCTTTACTGCACTTTATCTCCTTCACCATTTGTCGGTTTGTTAGCTGCTTGGGCAATAGATCACATCTCTGTTATGCACTGTTGACAAGTAGTGAGGATGTACTGGCTCCAGAATATATTTGTACCTGCACCAGCATTGGTCAAGTCTGGTCTTCAATGAGCTCACACTCGGTGCCATCACAACACTTTCTGGCAGGTTGTTCGAGGAGTTCACAACTCTTACTCCAAAAAAGTTTGCCTTGACACTTTTCTGAACCTATAGGCGTATTCTTGGTCACCCAAAAATGCATAACTAGTTATGCTATCTACTGCGCATCTCCACTTGGGTGTACCAAGGCAAAACTTGTCCCGAGATGATATGCCCTGAAAGGTAAAACTAGTTATGGTCTTTCCTTATTTTGAAAGTGGGCGGAGATGAAGGGAACTATCCAATCACATTCGTCGATCCATACACTCTGGACAAGATGAGGCATAAGTGTGAAGAATGTTTTCAATAAAATTACAAATTACACAAGGGATAGTAGATGTATACCACTTGAAAAGTATATCGAGTATAGAATTGCTTAGTTTGAGAGGCTTGAAATGAAATGACAATCAATACCTACGAGCATTGACTTGGGAATGGAGAAATTTCCAGCGACACCTGAAAACTCTTTGGGCTTCAACGAGGGTGAAGCATGCATGTCCAAATGGTCTCTCTCGTTTCTGACTTGAAGCTTTTAACTATAATTTCTTTGGTATAATGTCAATGTTATTCATAACAGATGTGATAATTTTTTAGAAAAGTACACAATACCGTAGTGAGTATATTGATATGTAGCTATGATAATCTTTTTAATGTGGAGACACATTTTAAAACAAATTCACGAAACTGGACGTAGCCAAAACATGGATGCTGGCGGCTCCAGACAGATCTCACAAGACACGCAGCAGGGTCCGCTCTTGATTGAGACGTACGATAACTTTTCCCCGAAAAAGAGTACGACAGCGCTGTTGGCATGTTCTTGGTGGTCATCAGTAGGCGGAGTCTATGAGCATAACTAGTTATGCGTTTTGGTGCAACCAAGAATATGCCTTATGGCTTCTTTAGCCTAGAACTGTGACCCCCAGTGGGGTGGGTATTGCCAGCTTCAGCTTAGTAATGATCTTGGAGGCGTTTATACTTCTATTAAGTCTCTTGCCTATAGAATAAGCTGGGCAATTGCAGGCATTCCAATCTCTTTGTGTAACTGAAATGCCAAAGTGATGGGAGTAGTCTGGTGAGCTTCCTTTGGACATTTTCTATCAACTGACAGTCTCTAGCATATCTCTGGGACCAGATGGGGTGACGTGTCCCCAAGATGTGCTTGAGATTGTCAGTTGATCGAAAATGTCCAAAGGAAGGCCACTAACATAATATCCACGTACAGTTCCATACTTACTGGAGGTCTTCCATACTTAAAGTTCTCATAGGCAATAATAAGTGCGAGTCCCCTGTAGTCGTGTTTCATATTGTAGTTCGGAGACTGGGGACCAACTGACAGAGTTGCACTTGCCCTGACCTGGCTGAAAGAACAACATAATTATAGAAATACATTACAGTATATTGTTTATCTATAATATATCATTATTTGTTATTTCATGACATAACATTACAATTCTAAATTAATCTGTTTTCATCTATAATTAGTGACCCAACCTCTAGCAGGTTTATATTTAGTAACTTCTTCATACAGGTCATGCTTAAGAAGGTAACCAAATCTTAAATTCTAACAGTACTGTATTGTATTGCACTGTACAGCCATACAATGTAGAAAAAATACAGAGGAGACTTGCAAAGTTTCAAGAAAAAATGTCGGTTTAAGTGAATGTGCAAAATTTTTGGCACACTGTGCTGCACTTACCAAATCACAGGATATCCAAAGCCTCGATTCCAGGCATCACTGGTGTCTTTAGTCTGTGAGTCAACTGTACCCAAATTGTCACAATGAAGATCAAGCCTAAAGCAGGTGAATTAAAGAAATGAAGTAATAGTCATTAGAGGCGAGAAAACGTGTTAAAATTTAAAAATGTATCGGGTATACATTAACGACTACTGTATTGAGGATTGCAATAGAAGTGAGTTTAGAGAAAACATTTAATAAGCCAAGCAACCTTGTAGGTGAAGGATGAAATTAGACTACAGTACAGTAGTTTTGTTATAATCTCGGCTATAATGTAACTAAGTGTTTACCCATTCACTAATAAAAACACTGATGGTATGTGGGATAAGTGTGTTCCTGAGGTGGCTGTAGTAGGGTGTCAATAACCAAGTTTTATGCGAGGGGGGAAAGGACTTAAAACCCTACCAATACTGATCAACTCCCATACAGGGTATAAAAAGGGCACAACTGGGAGATGACTCAACTCTGCCACTGTTATACAACATTAGGATGGGTTGGAAGAGACAATAAGAGGGGATTACATTTAAAAACTATTTATTCTACTTTGTTCATAAAACACATACAGTACAAACAAAATACAGTAAAACATAATTCACATACAGAAAACCACATTACAGTGCTGCATGAGTTAATCCTTATAATACTGGCAGTCTCACTTCTTATTGGATTTTTAAAAATATTTTGTACGGTAAGTAAGTTCGAGCTTTAACAAAATCAAGATGCGGTGCTCAGCTACAGGTGTACAGTATTTGGTTTGACATATTTGATTCTGCAGATCAATGACAATTTTATGAAGAAAAACCTTTTGTGCATGTACAGTACTAGGAATTCTTCAGTATTAAATTTTCTTGGGTTAATACTGTATGTGCTTATTGCATTTGAAGAACAACTTTTTAAAATAATATATTAAGTTCTAAACAACTACAATTGTGTATGTGTGCATTTTCATATGCCTTTATTGTGTGCTGGGCTCAGAGAGTAATAACCAGATCCAGGGAAATTTAGGATAGAAAGGGAAGTCATGGTTTAGGGAGGTTCGTCCATTCAAGGTCAGGTTTAATCCTCTCTCTACCTTCTCAATCCGTGGTCTACAGCCCTTGTACAGTACTACCCACATTCTCCACTTACACACATATCTTGTCTATCGGTGCATACTTCAATGTCACCAAGTACAATGTGACCCTACCAAACATCAAAGGTTTCCTCCATGTACTCCGGCTTCCTCTTATATTAACACTGAACAGACCAATTGCCTGGATGACTAGTAACCTGATTGGTGGTGAAATTATAATAAAAGACACACTACAACTATACCTTTTCCACCATAAGCCACGCCCATCTTCTATAGCTACAAATAGCTGATTGATTCCCCTGAGCATTTTACCTCCCTCCTGACTGCGCGTATTTACAGTATATTGACCGTTTATGATAAATATTAAAATTTTTCTAACATCATCTCTGAAGTCCTAATCCCATGAAATCATTTGCATTTTGATAGTCCAGATTATTTTAGATGCAATAATAACAGGTCTGTTTACCAATAACTGTAGACACATTAAGTTTGAATTTTCAATGAACCAAACAGCTATTAGCATAGAAGAGGGGCATGGCTTAAGGGCCAGGTTAGCTTGGAAATACTATAACCAGTGGTGTCCACGAGGTTGTTGAACACCTGTTTTTTGGAAGAGGAGGTACTCAATGATTCCTGGATATCCTCATTTTACCTTTGTTCAGAACTAACCAGCCCCCCAAATCACTCAAGGCTGCTCTTACTGCCAGTGCTGAACCTCTACCTCATGCTAAATATGATACAATTTATTACTGTATACAGTACAGTATTTGTCTTGGACACTTCATGGCATATTATTTTTAAAAACATAACATATGCATTATCTAAGTTCCTAAAGTTCCTAACTTTAATCCATCAATATTTTGAAATTTACTAGGAGCATATACCTATACTGTATAGGTAAGGTCTACGCTACCAGTGTACCGATCATCAGACTCCTATCACTTAGCTGACAGTAACCATATCTGTTCTATTTTTCACACTCGCAGGCAAGAAAAAAAGATTCACAATTTCGTATTGTGGTAAGTTGACAAAGTGCAATATATTTTAGCTAATATGTCTAATTACTGTACTGGTTTTATTTAATCATAAAAAATGAGTTAAAGAAAACCAGTGTGTTCCCATTTTACCTGTTACATGATAGAGTGTCCTCATCATGCTGAGATGTACTCTTTTGATCCTGCTGAGATGTACCCTCTTGGTCCTGCTGCAATGCACCCTCCTCATCTTGCTGAGATGTACCCTCCTGGTCCTGCTGAGATGTACCCTCCTGAGGATGTAGTACTCCAGTGGTCCCTACAACTTCAGCATCAGTGTTCTCCATCTCTCTAGCACTGTAACCTTGATCCATTTCCACTGCTTCACCAGCAATGCCAGATGTTTTCTCCAGTTTCACAAAATTATTATCTGAAAATTTTCCTGTCCTGTATTACCCCAACAAAATAATCTGCAATCACCAATGCCGTTTTAAAATAATATTAAAGTTACCCTATTTATCCAATGGGTGAATTCAGGTAGAGTCCAAGAAGTTGTGGATAGGGGAACATGGCAAGCCCACCTAAATGTGGGTTTGTGGGGGATGCTGTAAGCCCCCCATAAATTTTTTTGACATCTGACCACTATCATGGGCATTTTGAAGCCATTTTGAAGCCATGTACACTTGATATTAGGATATATTCTGAGATCAAGAGTTACTTTTTACTATACAAAAATGCGGGAGTACAATACTGTATTAAAGAAAATGTATGTGAATTTTCTGATGAAAAGAGGGGCCCGGACCCCCAATAACCCCATGGATCCGCCCCGGTGAATTATAATGTGCCGAGTTACACAGGTTAAGGGTAGGGTTGCCATACGTCCGTATTTTCCCGAACATGTCCTCCATTTAGGTCTCGAAATCTTTGTCCGGAAGGAATTTTTAAAATTCTTCAAAAGTCCGGAATTTCAGCTTCCATCATTTTCAACACGGAAAAAAAACATGAAACTGTAATGACGGGAGAGAGAGAGAGGGAGGAAAGGTGGAAACCGTAGAGATCTCGTTCAGTTTTCGTCGGCTAATAAGTCACTTGTACGCCTGTACGGTGTTGTCAACTTAGCTGTCAAATATTTGATTGATAAGGGGGTAGAAGTTGATGAAGTGTTTTGACCAAGTTAGTAACCTGAAGCAGTTTGTGGAAAATTACAAGAGTGATGAAGAATTTAGTAATCTGCCAACACATAAAAAGTGGACCAGATACTTTGAAAAATCAAAGAACATTGAATGCCACTCAGAATTGCACAATTCTTCTTTGCTATATCATCTCACAATGCAAATGTAGAAAGATTTTTTTACTGATGCAAAGTCAATGGACAGGAACAAATTGAGTGTTGAAACAATGAAAGGCATTCTGACCGTACAGTACAACTTGCAGTGACTTCTATACCTTTTTATAGAGCAATCAACCAATACTGAAAAAGATCCGATCTACAGAAAAGTATGCATAGGCACATCAAGTCACACACACAGTGGGGGAAGATGTTCAGCCTTAAGCAAAGGTACTTTTTTTTTTTTAAGATTTCTATACCATGTATGTTGTGTCTTAGCCTGTGTGTTCCGGGCGGGGGATGTCTTCTGGAGCGTCCTCTTTTTTTTTTAATGTTCAGATATGGCAACCCTAGTTAAGGGCCTTGTCAAGCTGTGCAGCTGAGCACAGCAAAAAGGCTGTTTCTTGGAGTTACCTTCTTCCAGTAATTAACAGCTAAGGCCTAAAAGAGAAGAACTCGAAGTAAATGAAAACAAAATTAATGAAAGTATCAAGAAAGGAAGAACCAGTAATTCAATATATATATATATATATATATATATATATATATATATATATATATATATATATATATATATATATATATATATATATATATATATATATAATTTTTTTGTTTTTTGGACACGGTATATGAAATCGAAAAGACCCAAATGATGTTCAAAATGTGTCAAGCCGCAGCTCTTACTGATAAACCGAAGGGGAATATATTGTGAGAAGGTAAATCAGGCAAATAAATTATTGGGTCTTATAAGAAGGTCATTCAGATATCTAGACGGTCTGTCCCTCGTAACGATCTTCAGGAGTGAAGTGCTTCCCCATCTGGAGTACTGTCACCCCTTCTGGTCCCCGAGATATGCTAGGCAGGGCCGGTGCAAGATGATTTGGCGCCCCCTTGAAAGTTTTGATAAGCTAATGTAGGTACAGTAACCCATTACTACATTGTTTTCATCTTGTGGCTTTATTACTTCACCCATGCAAATAACCAATTATTGTTATTACATTAAGTCAATAAATCCTTGACGTAAACTTCAGAGGTCAGGTAACCTTGCCTCATCCCGACAAAGACAGGGAAGGGGCGGCTCAGCCGCCCTGGCAGTAAGGGAGGGGAGGGGATGGTGGGGTTGGGAGAAGGGTTCCTCAGATGTCAGCCTTCAGGTCACTGCTCGACAGTTCTCCAGGCCGCCAAAGATAAGGACCCGGGTTAGTCCCTCCGGGGGGTTAACGAATAATATTAAAAAAGAAAACACAGTCGGCTACCGTCTACCTACCCTCGCCTCCCTCCGACCCCCCACCCTTCTAACATCCTGCTCCGACCCTCCACGGCTCCACCACAGTGTCCACCACAGTTTTCCCTTCATTTTTAATTTTATCCAAGTTTGCCCTGAATTTGTGGCGCCCCCAGATGTTGGCGCCCTAGGCGATCGCCTAGTTCGCCTAGTGGGTAGCGCCGGCCCTGATGCTAGGGACTGTCAGTTGGTTGAAAATGTTCAAAGGAGGGCCACCAGACTGGTGCCTGCCCTTCGGCACCTCAGCTACCCTGAGAGATTGGAGCGCCTGAACTTGCCTAGCTTATACTACAGACGGGCAAGGGGTGACCTAGTTGAGGTGTATAAGCATCTCAGGGGGCACTACTCAGTTGAGTGTCCTTACTTGGAGCTGGCGGACGCTCGCCCCACAAGGGGTCACAGCTCAAGATTGAAGAAGCCGCAAGTCCAGAAAACTGTGAGGACAAACTTTTTCGGAGTGAGGGTTGTGAACTCTTGGAACAATCTACCAGAGAGTGTTGTGACGGCACCGAGTGTGAGCTCTTTCAAGAGAAGACTTGACCAACACTGGAGCGGGTTCAGGTACATTCAGGAGCCGGTACATGCCCAGTACTTGCCAACAGTGCGTAACAGAGACGCGACCGATCGCCCAAGCGGCTAACGAGCCGATCAGTGGTGAAGAGGATAAAAAAATAATAATGTGGCGTTGTGTAAGAATCCCAGAATGCAACGACGAACAAGAACCAGGCCAATAAGGTAAGAAATAGGCGATTCCATCATATGGTGAGAGTCAGTTAAGTTAGGTCAGGCTAGGTTTGGTTATTGTTTTTCTAGTGTTTTATTGTGTATTTGTTAGTCACTTAGGCACCTTTTTTTTTTCTCGGAAAACGTCAAACGAAAAAAAAATCGCAAAAAAAACCCGGCTAATTTCCGCCAAAAAGGAAGGTCATACTCGGTCTCAGCACACAACTACACTATAGGTTGTGTATGTCACGTGACCACGAAATTCATTTACTGTCAAATTGGCAGCAAAAGAACACCCATGCGTGTTATGCCGCAGAACCAAGAAAGATCATCCCCAATTTGTATACCATTCATTCCCAAAGGATAAAGATAGGTAGGGGTATAATTTTGAATTACATATATGTGATATGACAGGTTTATTTATCAATATATTTACAAACAATGAGAAAACTCCCTGCAGGCAAAGTAGAATATGATTTTAACTACTATTTACAGGTGCTTACAATGGATAACTGTACTGGGGCTTGAGAAACTTTAAGGAAAGAACCCAGAAAATATAAGCATAAACACCAGATTATGCAGCCATCATTTTTTCCGAAGGCAATTACGCTGCTGGGTAGGTAACTTAAAGGCCAGCGGCTCTTAACCGGGGGGGCACTCCCCCCTAAGGGGGCCTGAGTAATTTCCAGGGGGGGAGGGGGCGAACCCAGAGCAAAAAATTAGGAATGGCCTTAACAGGTGTGTGTGTGTGACCTTATTTGGATTTTCGTAGGGGGGTGGAGGGGTTCTCGTTCCCCACAGATACTTCAAAATGTCGTAAATGATAACTACGTCAATCAAAATGTAAAATTCCACTAAAAGTGACTGAATTAAGGTAGTAATAATGTCGGTAAGTGTACGATAATTTGATGAAGAAACGATAATTTTGAAGCTCCAGTACGATAATTCACATTTGAAAAATTGTCAACACTGACAGACGACTTCCATCAAGGTCGGTAAGGTGTCTACCTACAGTACCTTGATCTACAGTGCCAGTCGCCCGTGACAACTTTCTACCTCTCACACACACGCATTTCTTTCTTCAATTGAGCTATGTTGTAGGGTAGACTTTTTATGAACGAAACAATAATGATAATTACTTATATCAGTTGAAAAGAATGCTAATTGTTTCGTTTTAATAACGAGAATGAAATTTGCCAACTCAAAATCACGCGGTCTACTTTGAGTGATGTTTATGGCCAAGGTGAACGACTCATTTATACATTTTATGTGTATTATATGGAGAAAATATAAATTTGGTTATAGTAACAAGCATATTTCATGTGAAAAGGTGACACGTTAGCAACCGTTAAATTGATGCTCCGTATAGTGATGTGCCAGCTCAATAGACGGCGCTGTCGTGGATGTAGACCGCACATCTTTTTCAATGGTAGGGATAATCGCTTTCTTCTCTTTCGTGTATAGTCTTTGGTCTGTGCGCGCATCCTACCAGCTACCGTTGAATGTCAATTTACCTGCCACCGTCAGTTTCTTAACGATCCTGACCAGAGAAATACAACACTCACGAGTCACCACCATTAAAAACCGGCGATCAGGGTGGGGCTTACCATTAATTCCTGACCTCCATCCACATCAGCAAACCTTGAGCTATCAATTTATATTGTAGGATATTCTAGCTTTATACTTTGTACGTAGTTCAATGTAATATAAACTCCACATTGTTCTTAAGGTAACAACCCATTTCGAGTGTTTATTGAATTCGTATGACTTAATGTAAATGTTTCTTGTCCTGATATCAGCCAATTCAGGACACATATATACTCCATCCAGGATGTTAACTGTAAGAACACTGAAACTAAATTTCATGAAAAGAGAATTTAGAGCAAAGGACTTCCTGCCCCTCCCAAGGTTCAGGCTTGCAAGACACCCTCAGACAATCCGAACAGCGACAGGCGCATTATCTTAATATTTTTCGTTAAGCATCACTGGGCACTTGGTGCCAACATGCTATTGTCCACTGTTGCCCAAATGTTCATTACGCGTTACGATGCAATGCTTAAAAGTAAATTAAGGCATCTGAATCTGGTGTACA